AAACAGAGCCAAAGCCAGCTAATTTTAACTCCCCTCCCCCCAAATTTTTTTTCCCAAGGGAGGAAGAAAAAACGGTTATTGATATTTCCAGTGTCACTCATTCATGTGGCTGACTGCTAAGGTCTTGTTTGGACAACACTCATTTTGCTATTTTGTCTCATTCTATCTCTTAAAACACCTCTTAAACACAAAACTCAATATTATTCAAATAACTTTTTAATTAACTTTTTAAAATTTATTTCAAACATTATTTTACACTATTTTCTTATACCACCACCGGACCACCTCCGTCGCCATCGTCCGCCGCCAGGCCGCCCACCGCAGCCGCCGAACCGCTGTCGGCCGACGACCGAATTCCGGCCAAGGCGGTCCGATGGCGGCGCCGGTGGTAGAGATGATTCGATGGTGGTCTAAAAATATTATTATTTTATTTATAATATTACTCAAATAACTTTATAAATTTTCTCTCAAAACGCATTTTAAATCACATCTCAAAACCAAATAAAAAATTAAAACAAACACAAAACGTTGGCCAAACAAGCCCTAAGCTTCTTTAGCGGCTTCTGGTTCGGTAGGTTTACATAGTTTTGATGCACCGCCGTCAGGTGTTAGGCCATGGTTGCAACATGATGTAATATGAGTTATGTATCCCGGAATGTAAGAATCTAGGCTTTTACATCTTAATTTATACCAAAAAAAAATACCGAGTTAAAGTTTTGATTATGTCTTTGTAAAATAATATAATAACAACAATAATAATAATAATAATAAACGAGGGAAAAAAGTGTTGTAGATTTGGTGTGGTGGTGTGAAAACAAAAGACCTCTAGGAAAACATATCTAGTTTAACTTGTCAAGAAATTAGCAAATTAAAAACCTTCAGCAAACAGACCTCCTATTCCCCAAGACGTTGAAAATTAATTTTAGTTCGATAAAATACACCATTAAAATGTGAAAGAAAGAGTAACATATTTAAATATATACCCAAAAAAAAATATGATTCTCTGTAGACAATAAATGAAGAAATTATTTAGAACAACTGCACTGATTAAACTTTTGCATATAGCAAACGCACTAATATTTCTAATTTCACTTAAACCGGAAGAAGGAAGAGAAAAAAAAAAAAGAAAAAAAAAAAAAACACCCGGACAATAGTAAATACACAAGTGCGGCTTAGCCTCATGGGGAGGTCAAACTCTAATATAACCATGAAATTGTAATGGGCATTATTGGTGCATGTGAATTTAGTATTATTACAATTAGTAAATTTCCTGTATCCACAAAAATTGGCTTATTTTTCTGTAATACCAAAAAGAGAATGACCTCAAGAACAATTCAAGATCGGCAGGAACACAACTTTATCTTTCTGAGGTAAATTTAATCATTTCGCATAATATCAATCCCTGCAACGCCTAATGATGGGAAATTTCTCACATTATTTGAAAGAGAAGTTTTTATGTGTGTGCGTTGAATGAAACCCCTCCCCTACACGTGATCTTAGGCTTCCATCCATAATATTAAAACCCTGGGGCTATGCCTATGAGTTTCTCTCTCTCTTTTTTTTTTTTTTAATTGGGACCACTAATCTGCATTTGTCTTTCGGGCCCCAATTCACAAGGGCGGTTGATTACTAAACAGCCCTCACGGTTCAGAAGCTGGGATATACGTACTGACACAAAGCAAAAGGGAGGAAGGAAAGCCCATCAAACAACACAATATGTAACGTAGTAGTATTATTCAAAAATCCAGTTGTACTAGCAGTATTTTCTTTCTGAAACAACTACATGCATCTTGGAGAAATTTGGTTCTGTCAACTAAAAGTAGAACCAATTCGATGACTTTGGTCATTGTCTCGATGGTTTGTGGAAATTTCGCACGATCAGCCGAAATTTTTCAAAAGACAAATCCGTAGAGATTTTTTGTGGTGCTCCGTGCTCTCCCATTAGTCGTTACTCTTATGTAAAGTTCCCAGTTCCCACAACAACATTATGGCAAGATTTACACTTCCTTTGCATAATGATGATGCATAAACTGCAAAGATCAATGCATCTCTCCCTCGGTTTAGACCATAATAAAAACTTTGATAACAGAGTTAGAGGTTCCATTTCTATCGTCTATCACATTGGTTGAAACACTGTACAAGTTAATGAGACGCGTTAGTAACACATGTATATTGTTTATTGTCCTAATATATTCCCTACATCTCGTGACAAAAATGGCCCGTTTTTTCATTGGTCGATAACACTAATTACACACTTGAAAAAAAGAGAGAAAGAAAGAAATGAAAGGATATATGTATAAACCAACGTGGAACAGTAAAATAACCATTTTTGCTAGGAAGGTAAAAATAATTGGCTATAAATCTTTCTTTATCCCAACTATATGTGTGGGCTGATGGGAGTCAACCCAGAACAGTAAGCAACTGAGTACTCAAGCAGATACAATAAACAGTGGGAAATAAGATGTAAAGGGTTCCCGTATTAAGCCCCCCAACTTTTGAGTGTGATCAGCTTTCCAATATGGCTAGTGTCCTCCTTTTGTTAAACATACTAATCACTCTCAATTATATCGTCACAAGGAACCCAACAACAAACACATCCAAAACTACGTTAAGCTATCAAAGCTAGGGGAAAACATCATGCTTACTACTGCTTACTAGTACTCCTGGTTTATATCCCAGCTTCCAAAACTATTCAGACAGCTAAGGTTGACAATTACAAATTACTCCAAAAATAGCAGTACCATTTTTCTTAAGACTTAAGGAAAATTTAGGGGTAGTACCATATGGATGATATGAGTGTGATTATGCTTTTAGCAGTCCCACCAAATCCGATTCAGGGTCCCCTAATTCCATATCGCCCTAATGTTTGTTGCATTGCACATCGATATCTGAAATCAATGTCCTGATTAATCCGAATTTAAATCAAATAAGTTGATTTGGGAAAATTAAATTCTTCCGACAAATATATTAGTCCGGGTTGCATGTTGCATGGATACCCATTCCAAAACAAACCGAGTTTGGTCATATTCATTCCAGAAATCACCATATGTTGGTGATTTACCTGATATCGTAACTACTGATTTTATTTTCATTCCAGAAAATGACTTCTGCCATATCCATTGATCTTGGTCTTCTGCTTGTTGTTCAGAGTTCAAACAGAAAACGGACTGACCCCATTCCCTATCTACAAACCCAAAGAATAGGATTATAGAATTTGGGTATTGAGCCCAAAAAAGTTTTAACAAATACAGCCCAGAAACGAAGATCTCTATTTTCAGGAGTTCGGAAGAAGCCCATAAAAAAAACAATTAACGAAACTTTCCATTTTATATAGAGACTAGTGATGTCTGGTCGCGCAATGCACGACCCTGGCCCAATATATCTTTAGATATTAGAAATATTTTTATTTTAAAAAAAATATTTTGTATTTGGCTTGATATATTTTAGATCGTTCGAAGAATTTAGAAATATTTATAAATGTGATCATAGAAACGTTCGAAGAATTGTATTTGGCCCGTTACGTTTTAAAAATGTTTGAAGATCTTAGAAATGATTTATAAGTGTTACCTATTAAATATAAATAAACTTGATCAAATATATGTCTTGAAGTAAATGTTAGATAAAATATAAAAGTATCTTAATAAATTTAAATATTAGTAAGATGATTTATTGATGTTCTCCATTGGTCGTGCTAAATCAATACTTAGTAAAGGAGATTTATAATAGCTTTGTCGTAAGCTTCCTCCGAAGGATATACGCTTAATTGTTGGAACTGTTTCTTCCAAAGGTTTAAAGGCAGTAAAATATCAAAAATATCGTTTTGAAATTGGTTAATTGTTTAAACAGGTTGATCACAAATATGAGAATGAAAATTAATGTAAATTTTCATAGGTTTCAAGTTATAGCAAAAAAGTATTCACCTCACCATGGCAAATAAAATAATAAAAAAAAAGTAAAAGAGCCCATTAAAAATTGAGAAATTATTTTTTTCCTATAGGTAAAAATAATATATAAAAACACAAATAAACGTAGAACTATCATTCCTTCCCTCTCCACCTCAAATTCATAAAAGACTTCCCCATGAATTAGTTAGAAGAAGCAACCTGAACTATTTATATGATGAGGAACTCAAAAAAAGTCCAAAAACCAAATCTAAAAAAGTATATTCTTGAAAGCCCGAACACAAAAAAAAAAAAAACGTACTTCATTTGCCAAAAAATAATAATAATAATAATAATAATTGGTCAACTGGGAGTATGAAACAAAATCAAAAGAAATTAAACAAAGAAAAAACACACTTCAAAGACCATATACAAAAAATAACTGAGACTCCATAATTAAAAAAAAAGAAGAAAATCACTCTAATGTGAATGAAACATAAAAAATAAATTAAAAAAACCACACTTTGTGACAAAAACCCAATTGATCAATTCAATCCAAACAAAACTAAAATCATACAAAAATTCTAGGCTAACTAACCATATAAGAAATCAAATCATATTACCTGACAACGGCTACGGTAGCTGTAACGGGTGGTCGCATAAAAATAATAGTAATAACACTATTCTTGAACGGGAAAAATAAAATATAAAAAAAGTCAAACAAATGATCTGTGGAAATAAAATCATTTAAATTTTAATACCTGTAATGACATCACCGCAACGGCCGAAGCAAGATTAATGAGAATTTTTTTTTTCCTTTGTGTTTATATAGATAGGTAAAGAGAATATTTCTTGAAGTCAAAATTTTATTCCATTAGGATATAGTTGATTATCACTAATGAAAAGATTGAACATACTAATAGAAAATGAGTATATTTCACCACATATTCTCAGTTAATGATTGATGAGGAATTTATTATTTTTTTTATTGTGAAGAAGGGATTGATTAGAGAGTCGATTGTGAATCCGTGGTTTTTTTTTTGGCGAAAATAGGAGATGGGGGTGGATTTGGACTGCATTTGTCTTTTAAGTCTAGAAAACTAATGTGTAAATAAAAAATTATTTTAAAAATATGATGTGAAAATGCCACATGGCAAATGTTGATACTTTCTATTAAGTGTGATTTTTGTTTCTAATATAGTAAGATGTACAGAAAATTTTTTCATCAATCTTTAATATAGTTGTGTAGGATTTTACACTCTACAATTAGGATCAGATGGGAGGCTTGTCAACCAGATTAAATCACCTAAAACTGCTTCATCGTCGTCATTCCGGTGCCACGACCACTGCGCATGGGTTGCATTCACTACTTCAAGTTCACCATGCCCAAAGCTTGCTTCCCTGAATACCGAAATCTTTGGCTGCGGCTCTATGTAACTGTTCACGTGAAAATCATACATTTCATTCTAACATTGATTGCTTTTTTGCATGTAAAAGTAGGGAAAAGAACAATTTGTGGCCCAAAAACTTACTCGGTAGCAAGGCCTTCTCTGTTTCCGCCATCCCCAATGTTGATATACACTGGTCCACAGTTATCAGCTTGATCCTTGTAAACTCGGATCTGAATATGTAAAAACAGCAATAATGGGAATTGAACTCATCAAGGTCAGGTAAATTCAAAAGCTAACCTGTCAAAAGGAAACAAAGGGGAAATGAAGCTTACAAAGCGTTCGTATGCATGAATATGCCCGGCAAATACAACATCAACTCTGGCTTGATATAGCAAATCTTCCATGTCTTTCTTCATATCAACAGATTCAGTTTCACCCTGATGAGCATGATTAGAGTTATACCAAGGCGCGTGTATAAGAACTATGAGCCATGGTGTTCTACTTCTGTCTACATTCTTCAGGTCAGTTTGAAGCCATATATACTGCGTTGAATTAGGATCAAAATCGGTGTATGAACCCAACATAATTACATGAACTCCAGCGACTTCAAATGAGTAGTATAAGTTTGAATCAGAGCCACTCTGCTCGTACGGCATGCGCCATCTTGCATTGTAGGCTGTGAAGGGTTGCTTATGAATTAAGGGAATTTTCTCAATCTCATGGTTTCCTTGTGTCACCATCCATGGCCGCTTGCTGGCTAGTGGCTCAACCAGACGGCCAAATGAATCCCACAACGGTTGGTTCAAATCGGCATACGACAAATCCCCTGGCAAAAGCAACACATCATAGTTCGATTTTTCAATGTGATCCAGAGTTGAACTTGTCCAGTCTGTTTGTCCTAAATCACCTGCAATTAACCGAAGATCCTTTAATCATTCACATTCTTTGACAAATCATCATCAGGGCAGGGAAGAAATTTGATAATTTGTACGTTCACCTGATACAGCGAATTTGATGGGAAATTCTGCCGGTGCAGTTTTGAAACTGAATTCAGGGCTTGAATCTAAACCACAGCGATAGTAGTACACGTTGTTTGGCTTCAGGGGGCCAATAACCACATCATGTATTTCTCCAGATTCATACCACACATACTTGTACGAACTGACACTTCCACTGGCTGAAGAGTCATAAACTCCTGAAGATGTACCGTATTTGACAGTTGCTGGAGTTGAGTTATCTGTTATCCATGTTATCCTCATCTTATCTTGCCCCGCCAGAGATATATGCACCTGCGAAACTATAAATCGTGAACCTAATTTCAATGGCTACATTAGTTATGGATACATGACTGCAGTCTGACTCTATGGAAAACATTGAAGGAAAGTAAAACAATCAGCCAAACAAACTGAAAAAGTACCCCAATTTGACTGCAATTTTTTCCTTCTATGTCAGTTTTTCAGTATATGAAACTCAACATATCCGGGCTATTGAATTTCGTACTTAACTGCCTGCCTTTCCAAGTTGTTGGAAGGTGTTAATCAACAGTTATTGTTCTTAATTAGTCATAGATTATGAGGCATTTTACCTTAGAGCAGGTGTGAGGTGTGTGTCAATGTGAAATGTGAACATCCACTAAGACCCTTCACTAGTTTTTCTGACAGGAAGTCAAATCTGACAACGTTGCCAGTCCAACCTAAATCAAAGGACAGAAAGAAAACAAGTCCTTCGATTTTGAAACAGAACAGCCTCGACCTCGCATACCACAAATTCTTAAACTAATCTGTGCCCTCATACTTCCTGAATTTCTATCCCCCATTAACATAAATATCGAGTAAATAAAAGAATGCTTTTTAGGTTCCTCGAATGTGACAAACTAAGCCATTCATAAATTATCAATCAGGGCAAATCTGCTCAGTTCAATCGGGTCGTGATGGATAACAAATGCATCAAAATATGAAAAAAATAATGGATTAAAACGTAGAGAATTGCGTTGAATGATAACCTGTTGTGGAGAATCAGGACCAAGATCTTTGGCCAAGGGAACAAACAAGTTTTTCCGAGCAGGCGGTCGTTCATATGCAAAACTTGGTCGGGAAACTCCTGCGAAGACCAGAGCCAATGCCAGCATCACAAAGAACCCCTTCATGGCGGCCATGCAGGACGGAGCGCCGGTGATGAGATGGAATAACCAGAGAAAAATCAGGCCAAAAAGGGGTGAAAGGAAAATAGCCTAAGGGATTACATAGAAAGTTCGTAAAAAACAATGAAGGAGGCATATATAAGGGGAAAGAGGAGGAATGGATCGATACATTTTGCACAAATCCTCAGTATGAAAACTACGAATCCAACTCCAATATTAAATGCTTTTCAAACTTTTCTATATATTGGGGATTCCCCCTTACCGTATTGTTCGCCTAGGTTCTTATTCCTCCTTAATAACGTCAGAGTTGTCTCTTTCATAAAATACAAGGGGCAATTTGGAAGCAAAATCCATACCAAAATAAAGCATCCAAAATGTCGTAATCAAAACACTGCTCAATCTCAGAAAAATGCAAAATCACGGACAACGTTGTTAAAAATTTCAAACGCGTTGGCATTGCGGCCACGGATTCTTCAATCTCTCGACCACTTATCTCAATCCCATGTTTCGTTGTCTAGTTCATTCATGACGGACCATAAAGCGCCCGACTATTCAATTTCAATGGGTAGTCAATTTGATCAAATTAGCTGCACCAATGCTTTAACCCCTAACCAGTTGGATGTTGCATTGGAACTAATTTAGCTTATGAACCTGCCTTCCTTCAATAAGTACAACACGTAATCCCGTTAGAGGTTAAGATATTCCTCTGTATCTGTACATTTAAAGCAACAAACAGAAATAAGTTGTGGGATTCATTTACATTTATGGGCTCATGCCATACATTTCGTTTAAATGTACATGAGAACCTTTAATTTCCTTAACCTTTGACTAACTAGAGAACTGTGCAAAATAGTGAAAATACTAATTGTTGTTAACCTTAAAAAGGAACATCTAAGAATGAGACATGCGGATTCAGCAACTGTAAGCATACGATAAGGCCGACCTTAAGCAGAATGATGATGATTAAACTATTCGTTGAATATAATTACATTCATCCAACCATAATATGCGTGTGGATGGATGGGTGATTAATCAAATCAATGCACAGTTTTTTTGGTTCATGTGGCAGCCATCAAACACTTGTGAGGTTTGCTCTGTTTTCTCTGCACAAAGTGGTTTCACTTTCACATTAAGGACAACAGTGCATGAAAGTCAATCTTATAGGCTTCGGAGAACAGACAAGCCCAATCAATTCTTTGATTGAGAAACTAAAACCAGATCGATGAAGCCCATACCGGCTTTCTAATTACGTTAATTTACTTCCACATTAACCTTCTTCTCTTCTTGTATACGCATTTTCATTTCCACATTTTTCGTGAAACGAGTCACATTTTTTTCCCCCTCATATTTTAGCTTGTACGGAAGTGAGTTATAGAAATAAACACTGTTTTCTCCTGATGATTAAGTTAATCATTTTGGAATTTAGTTTTCAGAAGTTCCTAGCTTGCACGTTAAACAACCGACAACCTCCACCCATTCGACTTTCGATAAAATAAATTTATTGTTTCGCTCAATATTATATGAAAAAACTAACATTTTTATTGGAGGTAATTAGTATACAAATCAAATACTCCCTCTGTCTCAAAATTATTGTCCAGTTTGAGATTCCACTTTTAATACAATTTGAACTAGAAATGAAAACCCAAACTGGACAATAATTATGAGACGGAAGGAGTATTTAACAATAATATATGTTACTGTATAATTGTAGTCTTCGGTGGAATATCATAAGCACCGGAAGCTGTTTGAAAACTAATGCAAAATTACTCCCAAACAGAAATCATTTTTTACTCTCAAAAAGAACTTTTATGAACTTACTGTAGTAAAATTTTGAAGGAGCAACCCAGCTTGATACCGCACGGCAGAAGTACTGGATCAAGTTAATCTGCTACTGCTTTCTTCTTCTTATATTGCGTTTGGAATCAATTTAGGCCCTCTTCAGTCTTCATAAATGGTGGATTTGTTGTTTTGTTCTCTTCATCAAAATTCCCCGTGCTATATGTAAATGATGTTCTTCCGAGACATGACTTTAGCCGTTTGGGACAAAGCACTGCTTCTGCCTCGTCACTACACCCTCTGGGCACGTCGTGTCACTCTGTGGCTTGGGCTTTACAGCATCTCATTCTGTCGTTTTCTATTTTCTGTTTCCAGAAAGTTAAAAAGAAAGAAAACATCTCACTTATGGGCTCTTTCTTTCTAAAGCCCATACTTACATTTTGTATCACCGGATATCAATGTTTTAAAAATCGGGATTTCACACAGGATTGATCGGAGCAGATTCTGGATCGGTGGGATAGTAACTATTTAAAATATTATAATGATTCTGAAATTGTAAGTTTCAATTTGTTAATTCAATTCTTGTTTGATTTTATGAAAGAGAAATAGACTAGTGTCCATATAAGTATCATCAACTCAAAATTTTATATCGACTATTCAGACCCCAACCGAATTGGAAATATATTGGATATGTTGTTGTTGTTGGTCCCAGAAATATGTGTATGTATATATTTAAAATCGTATTACACATTTGATCAAAAATAAAATCGTATTACACACAAAAATATTCTTTTATTATGAAATAGAGATAGTTTGTTAAAAACTTAAAATTACAGGTAAATTATTGGACACATCTATCTGTACGCAATGGGGCGAAGAACGATAGTTGTCGCGAGTTACAAATACTGAAACTCTGAAAGTGATTCTAAGGTTTATTCTTTTCCTGCCATATAATGCTACGAGTTATCAAGTCGCATATTCGGTATGAATATTCCAACTCTTCCTTGAGGAACACGAAGGAAATTTTTGACCGCATTATTTTATCATGTTTTTCAATAAAAACTGGGTTTAAATTACAATATATAAGTGTTTGAAAGTTTCAGAAACAAAGAAAACATAAATAAGAAAGAATCATTCAGATTCCTGACTAGGATTAAATTGAACTGTTGTTATCCATTCATACGAAATAGACTAAAATTATACCATGCACATTAAGTGCATGTAGTTAGATATACATAGACTCTTATTTGATAATTAGTATAGGAAATAAGGATTGAACATGCAAGTTTTTATGAGTTAGATAAAACATACACCCAGACTCTCCTTAATTTTAGAAAGTGAGTTTTAAAATTTTCTTTTATCTTCAAATTTTTTATTTCTTAATCTGTAATGAACTAGACCAAGTGTCTTATATCATTTTGATAGTACTCGATGAGATCTATCCAACAAAATCTATCATAATATATTTTTCGAAACTTTAAAAAATTTATGCAATTGGCTCAGTCGTCCTAAAAGACGCTTTGGTCTTTTTTGTTGTTCGGTCTTTGGTCTTTGGCATTTGGTCCCCACACACGCTTGCTCGTCACTCTGGTCTTTGGTTTTCGGTTTTTTGTCTTTGGTCTTTGGTCTTTGCTCCTCGCACATGCTCGCTTGTCACTCTGGTCTTTGGTCGTTGCTCTTTGATCTTCAATGTTTGGTCTTTGGTCTTTGGCTTTTGGTCTTTGCTCCTCACACACGCTTGATTTTCACTTTGGTCTTTGTTCTTTAGTCTTTTGTCTTTGGTCTTTGGTCTTTGCTCTTTGGTCTTCAATTTTTTGTCTTTGGCCTTTGGTCTTTGGTATTTGCTCTTCACACAATGCTCGTTCTTTCACTTTGGTCTTTGCTATTTGGTTTCTGGTCTTTGCTCCTTGTTGTTCGAAAAAATATATTAATGTGTTTATGATTTAGGGGGTTTAAGCATTTCCATGTCAGTTAGGGTCTAGTTGTTTAATTAGGGCTTAAGGTTTAAGGAGGTTTAAGCATTTCTGTGTCCGTTAGGGCCTAGTTTGTGCCGTAACACGATCAACCTTATAATTTTTTTTAAACCATTTAGTTTACGAGACCCTAGCCTAATCGGTTTAAAAAAAATTTAAACCTATATATATATATATATTGTTTGGGATTTTAGGGTTTAAGCATTTCCGTATCGGTTAGGGTCTTTAGGATTAACGAGGGTTTACACATTCTTCTGTCGGTTAGGGCCTAGTTTGTGACTTAACACGATTAATTTATAATTTTTTTATACCAATTAGGCACGAGACTCTAGCCTAATTGGTTTAAAAAAATTTAAACAAGAAAAAATAGTGCGTTTAGAATTTAGGGGGTTTAAGCATTTCTATATTAGTTAGGGTCTAGTTGTTTAAGGTTTAGAGTTTATGGGGATTTAAACATGTCCGTATCGATTAGGGCCTAGTTTTTACCGTAACACGATCTACCCTATAATTTTTTTTGAACTAATTAGGCTAGGGTCTCGTTTAAACCAAAAATAAAATAAATAAAAATATTAGGTTATTTAGGGTTTAGGGGGTCACTCTGGTTTTTGATCTTTGGTCTTTGTTTTTCACACACGCTCGCTCTTCACTCTGGTATTTGGTCTTTGGTTTTTGTTCTTTGATATTTAGTCTTTGGTATTAGACCTTTGGTCTTTAGTCTTTAGTCTTTGTTCTTTACACACGCTCGTTCTTTACTCTGGTTTTTTGTTTTTGCTTTTTGGTTTTTGCTCTAGGTCTTTATCATGAAAAACACAAGTAAGACGTGTTTTTTAGAAAGACCAAGACAACTAAATAAATTTTTTTAAGTTTCAAAAAAAAATATTAATGATGGATTTTGTTGGATAGATATTATTGAGTACTATCAAAATGATATAAGACACTTAGCCTAATTCTTTACATATTAAGAAATAAATTCATTTAAAAATTAGAGAAATTTTTAAAACACATTTTCTAAAATTAAGGGATGCTCATATGTAGATTTGTTAAGTGCATCTAGCTAGATACACTTAGGTCAAATAATTAAAAAGGAAAAAGAAAGCATGTTAATAATTACACATGAAATCCCTTCTTTATGAAATAATTAAAAAAGAGTCTAAGAGCACCTAACTAGATGCACTTAATGTGTATAGTATAACAACTCCGACATAGATAATACGTATTGAATTTTGCTTATAAACCTCACACAATTTCTTTTTTCTTAGAAACGAAAATTGAGTTATGTTTGTGTTCAAGAATGTATATGGGTAGGAGTCGTGCTAGTTCATTATCAAGTGACAATTTTTGGTTCCTTTCACCTGTCAACTTCAAAAAGTTTGAAACCGGCCAGAATTAAGCTCCATTCCGTCGTGCACATGTCTTCTTGTAAATTCTCAAACATTGGTTCCCATTTGCAACGATGCGGGCATACTACAATCTTTATATTCATTGTTCTAAATCATTATTCAATTTAAATTTTTACTTTTGTATAATTTATATTAAAAATAAAAATTTAAATCAGAAAATCATTTTAGAACGGAAAATTTGTAATTTGTATTAAAACTAAAAATTCAATCTAGACAATTAGTTCAAGACAGAAAAATCTATAATTGTAGTTGAATATAGATACATATGTACTAGATAAGAATTAATTTGACTATAATGCATACCTGTTTAGAATTAATCTCATATAAACATGTACAGATAAACGGCATATATAGCTAGAATGATTTTGACAGGCACATACTCATTGTACCTAACTGATTTGTAGTTTGTTTCAACAAGCTTTACATTATATAAGATCCCTGGTTTTATTCGATTATACTGAGATTGTTCAGTTTTTCACGTCAAGTAATTTTCCCTCATCCTCCACACAACTGGCGGACTTGTAAGTTATAAGTTTGAGTTAAGCAAGTTGACCAATTTATGGATTGGATTGGATTGGATAAAAGAAGAAGGAACTAATTTATAACAAGAAACACATAATTATTTATATAAAAAAAATACTAAAAAAGAAAATTTTGTAGTTTGTGCTTCCATCAACCTGAATGCCGTACCTCGTATACTTTTAGTAGTATAAATTGGAGTACTCTTGAAGATGCATCCAAACGCAACCCAACATAGAAAGCATTTTTTCTGTCTTATTTCATAATTCCTTTGAAGATGGAGACCCGCCTATTGTTCTTCTTTCTCTTAACCATTTCTTCCTTATGGCAACACCATCATGCTTCGTCGAAGTATTCTCGTCCACCTGCCCGATCTCTCATCCACACTCCACACAATCGATCAGAATCTGATCCTCAACAAGTAGATTTTCCAATTAACTTTACAATCTTAATTAACAAGTTTTTGTTCAACGTTCTTCTTCGTGATTTTCTTTCTTATTATTTTTCTTTCATTTGAAACTCGTTGTTTAATTGTGTATATTTGTTATAGGTGCACGTATCATTGGTTGGGCAAGACCATATGAGGGTTACATATATTACTTCGCATAAACACACAAAATCATTGGTTGAATACGGAAAATCGCCGGGGGTATACGAAGCATCTTCAACCGGAGACCATGACTCGTACCACTACTTCTTCTACAGCTCCGGTGAAATTCATAACGTGGTTATTGGCCCATTAGAGCCAGGCACCACTTATTACTACCGCTGCGGTGGTTCCGGCCCGGAGTTCAGCTTCCGGACCCCTCCTTCCGATCTTCCTATTGAGTTCGTCATTGTAGGTCAGTCATTTTTTACTTTCTTTGGCACCCATTCGTTACGTTTTGTTTTTTTTTTTTTCTTCCCGGGAAATTATGGGAAATAAGTTTTGTTTCCGTCGCGTGCACTTCCCCATACCTTTACTTTAAGTTACAGTCGCATTTACGTACTCCAATTCTTTTTTTTTTTTTTTTTTTTTGGAATAAAGGGAGCATATTTCTGCATTAACCAAACAACAATCCGACAGGGACGTACTCCAATTCTTTTAGTGATGATGATACATAAAACGGGTTGCTTTACATTTTGCCTTCTTTTTCTTTTTTTTTTTTGCGGTGTCTTCACGCTTATTTCGTTCGATGCATTATGCACGTACATGCTAATAGTACAATGTTTGCATCTTTGTGGTTATTGGAAAGACGCAAGTAGAATTCTATGTATGGCATCTTGCTACAAGATAAAGTTATTTTGTGGCAAAAAATGGCCTCAAAAAAGAAGAACCCCACTAAAAGAAAATGACTCCCCGATATTTGCTGGAAAACATGGTCGTCATTGATGAAAACATATTTCTTTTACGGCAAAAGGAAAATCCACGCGAGTTCAATAAGTTTGTTTTTCCTCTCTATAAATCTTAAGTATTTATTTAGCTAGAAAGTGTACATATAGGCAGAGGCGGCTTTAGGGGGAAGCTGAACAAGATAGGGCTTTACGCCCAAATTTTGAAGGGCCCCAAAATATTAGGTGTTTAGTAAAAAAAAATTATATAATTAAATTATCTCAACATTTAATTAAAAAAAAAAAAAGAAGAGAAGTCTGGGAAGATGAAGAGAGGCGTATAATACAGCTGGTAAAAAATTAAGTTTCAACTAGATAATTAATAACCAAGTATCCCATCTACTTTGGAATTCTACTTTTAAAAACTCTCCCCATCTTATCTCTAATTACCACATTTACTGATTATCTTCTCCTCAATAATTTCCGAAGCTCTTGATCTTCTTCTCCTCATAAACTCTCTTTTTTTTTTCCTGCTTTAGTTTGATTTACAAATACTTCTTCAAGTGGCAAAAAAAAAATAAAATTCAGGTAACACTTATTCTTATTCAAGTATATTCTTTTGTTAATAGATCATAAACTAATGTAGTAATGTATTGCTTTTATTTTTTTATGTTTAATTAATTTTTTGTTTTTGTTAGTCATATTGAGTGAAAATAGTGATAATAATCGGTGGAAGTGGTATTGTCTAAGTGATTATTAGGGTTATTTGGTATTTGATTAATTGATTTTATATTTGTTTTGAAATGTTATTAGTTTAGGAAATAAAATTACTGGGGCTTTGTTTTTAAGTTGGGAAAAAGTCAAAAAAACAATTGTTTTCATGTCTTGTGCGCCAGAAAGGTAGTGACGTTCGTTTTTGTGCGGAAGACATTTGGAACATTTTATTTTATTTCTTGGGTTAGCTCGTTTCGGCGCCCTTTTTTTTTCAGGTTTGGAAGAAATTTTTGTTTTCAGATTTCTCTTCAGATTTGGCTTAGATTAAATGGATTGGCTACTTTATCAATTGAACAAGATTTAGCACAAGAAATTGAGTATGAAACTTTTATTAAAGAATTTGCATCTATAAAAGCTAGATGGAAAAAATTCATATAAAACAAAAATTAAAAAAAATTAAAAAATCTCAAAAAAAAAAATTTTAACACCGCCTATTATAAACTATGTTTATAAGGTTGCTGTTAAATGAATGAAAAGAAAGAAATTACCACATGTTCCCTTGTCCCACATCCAAATGGATGGAGACTCTTGAACTCAACATATATACCTCATCGCCAATTGGTTTTGAAGTGGAACTACCTGTAGGCCTATATTTGGACCTTCAAGATGATATCAGAGCGGGTTTAATCCGCGAACCTGTGGGACTTGTGGGCCGAGGTGGACTGACTCAAATTGGGTCTTGAAACTTTGGTCAACCCAAGGAAGAAATCTAGGGTTTGACTTTGAACTTTGACTGGCCCGGCAGGCGACGGTTTATCCGGAAAAATAACCGATCACAAGACTGAGAAAAAAAAATCAGAAAAAATATATATAAAATTTCCCGTCCAAGCCCATTGGGCTTGAGAGGGGCGTGTTAAATGAATGAAAAGAAAGAAATTAGCTCATGTTCCCTTGTCCTACATGGATGGATGGAGACTCTTGAACTCAACATATATACCCCATGTGCTACTTCCCTCATCGCCAATTAGTTTTAAGGTGGACCACATGTGGGCCTATATTTGGGCCTTCAAGAGTTGCGTTTGGTTAGCAACCAACATTTTAAAAAAATTCTAATATATAATTTTATTTTTTTTAAAAAAAAAGGCCTTAAATTTCAAACTTGCTTTGGGCCTCAAAACATATAGAGACGCCTCTGCATATAGGAGCATATGCTACTGATCATTTGACATTTTTCTTTTTTTTTTTAATGGAAATTTGGTGAAAACAAACATTAGCAATGAACAGACGGTTGCAGTCTTAATGTTTACATGGGATACCATTTATTTTTTTCTCTTTTGATACTCCCTCCCACAATTATTTGTCCAGTTTGAATTTTCATTTTTAGTTCGAATTGTACCAAAAGTGAACTCTCAAACTAAACAATAATTTTGAGACAAAGGGAATACATTATAACAGTATAAATATACTACTATTTTTGTTTCCGAGAAATAACCCACTTTGAATTTTCATAATTGTACGGTTTTTAATATAAATTGTGAAAGTCAATCTGGGTTATTTTTATTTTTTATTTTTTTGCACACAAGGGAAGGGAGTAATAAGGATATTTTTCCACTACTCTGTTTTATAATTAGTTCCCCGTAACTCGATTCGTAAATTTCAGTTCCTAACAGCTTGGAGTTGGAATCACGAAACCGAATATATCACATGAAATGTGAATATGATAATAAGAATGAAAAAATTAAACTAAACAATTTTGATCCCACCGGCCACCCTCTCCTCTCGCCTCGAAACAAATCCTGTCTTTTCTTTTTTTTTTCTTCTTGATTTGCTGGATTTATAGAATAAAAAATAATTAAAGTTACGTTTTTTTCTTAAAAAAAAATAATAAAAATTATGGAACAGGGGATCTGGGTCAGACGGAATGGACTGCATCGACGTTAGCCCACGTGGGAGCAAAGGACTACGACGTTTTCCTTCTGCCGGGAGATTTATCCTACGCCGACACACAACAGCCGCTCTGGGACTCCTTCGGCCGGCTGGTGGAGCCGTACGCGAGCCAGAGGCCATGGATGGTCACCGAAGGCAACCACGAGATCGAGATCTTCCCAATCATTTACCCAACCGGCTTCAAGGCTTACAACTCCAGGTGGCTCATGCCCCACCAACAGAGCGGCTCCAAGACCAACCTATATTACTCCTTTGATGTCGCCGGGGTGCACATTCTGATGTTGGGATCCTACGCTGAATTCGACTCCGACTCGGACCAGTACAAGTGGCTTCAAGCCGACTTGGCTCGGGTTGACCGGAGTAAAACTCCTTGGCTTCTGGCTCTGCTTCATGCGCCGTGGTACAACTCGAATGAAGCTCATAAGGGGGAAGGAGAAAGCATGAGAAAAGCTATGGAAGAGCTGCTCTATAATGCCCGAGTTGACGCCGTGTTTTCAGGACATGTTCATGCTTATGAGCGCTTTGTAAGTCCCTTCAAAACTTTGTTCTTGTTCCGGTATATTGCACCGGCAAATTAATTTAATATATAGCCCCTTTTTCCCCTTCAAAATGACGCATTATAATAACACAATATCGCAGACTAGAGTGTTTGATAACAAGGTTGATCCTTGTGGACCTGTGTACGTGACCATTGGTGATGGAGGGAACAGGGAAGGACTTGCCATGAAGTAAGTGTACTTTGTTTTTCTTCATGGAAAAATATGTTGGCGAATTATTTTTGTAAGACGGAGATAGTATTATATTAATTATAGACTGTATTATTTATTAATGATGTCGTTTGATGCATGTATGGAATGGAATGAACACAGTTTCGAGAAGCAAAAGCCAGAGATATCAGTATATCGGGAGCCAAGTTTTGGGCATGGACGATTGAGGGTCTACAATGAAACGCGTGCGCATTGGTCATGGCACCGGAACAATGAGTCCGAATCCGTTATGTCCGACGAAGTTTGGCTACACAGCCTCTATTCATCCAGTTCGTGTGTGGAATCCGGTGACGGCTCGAAAAGGGACGAACTCTGACTTGTATATGAATTAAAACTTTCCAAACTCATTTGATTCAGGCATTTAGCCCCACCCCAATGGCCCAATCGTGCATGATACTAATGGTTCCTTGTACTCCTTCTGTCTCATAATTATTGTTCAGTTTAAGTTTTTATTTTTATTTCAAATTATACTAAAAGTGAATTTTCAAATTGAACAATAATCTGTCTCATAATTATTGTTCAGTTTAAGTTTTTATTTTTAATTCAAAGTATAATAAAAGTGAATTTTCAAATTGAACAATAATTTTGGGATAGAGGAATAACATTTTGTAGTGATGAATTTGTTGCTGTAGTTATCTTCTTAGTTTTTTTTTTTGGTTTTTGGTCAGAACATCAGATCTCATGTTGTACTGTTGTGTAGTTCTACATTTTACACACACACAAAAAAAAAAAAACATCAATAAAGTTATCATTAAAAGCTACGACACCAAACAAACAAAATTCTTTTATTATGCAAACTTCTGACACCAAAAAAAAAAAAACCCTAAAAGACTAATTTGATTAACCTCCTTTTGTTGGCAACAATTAATATTAATAGTAGTAGTAGTAGTAGTATTTCAAGATATTTGGTCAAGGTGCTCCAACGCTGCCCTGGCACCAGATCGAACAGACAGCCTATGAGATTCGGATGCTGCAGCAAGTCTTTTCAGCTCTTGGATATCTGCGGCTTGTCTATTCACTTTTTCGGTCAGCTGTTGGACCTGTGCTTTCAGCCCTTCCTCTGAACTTCTCAAAGCTTCAATCTCATCATTATTGCGTTCCACTCGACTAATCAATTTTCGAATAATATCCCACAACTCTTCCGTGTCACCACTTTTTCTTCTTACTATTTGGGCTAAACTTCCAGGCACCCTTGTCGCCATTAGGAATCAGACAGATTGGAAGTGGAATTTTTTTAAAAAAATAAAAAAATAATGAAGAGAGGGGACTACTGGACTAGGGTTGGGTTCAATGGACATATTATATAGAATGTCACAGAATGTGGTTCCCGTTCGGAGGTAGAATCCAGGGGCCATTCAAAGTGTGTTCTGTATAGAAATCTTTATGGTTGGGTAATTACTTCCAAATCTAATTGCACTATCTCAAAGTGAACCAGAAAAATTATAAAGCGTATATTTACTTGATTGGAATGGTCGGTTAAAAATTTAGGAGGCGTTTGTTTTGTCACCTGGAAACAGATTCAGGAAACGGATTTGAATGATGGCGGATTGGATTCAAGTAATCATAGATTCGTGAATCCAATAACCAAACGGATTCAGGAAACGGATTTGAATGATGACGGATTGGATTCAAGTAATTATGGATTCGTGAATCCAATAATCAAACGGATTCAGGAAACGGATTTGAATGATGGCGGATTGGATTCAAGTAATCATGGATTCGTGAATCCAATAACCCCGTTTGGTTTAAAATCTGAATTGAATTAATTAAATTTTTTTAAAAAAATAAGTATTAAAAAAAAACACTTTTCCCTTTCCCTTCACGCTGCTTCCCTTTTTCTCTATCGCCGCCACCCACTTCCCACCGTCTTCACTACCACCGCCAACCTCCAATCAACTCCACCCTTTTAATACTCACCGCCAACAACTTCCACTACCCCTTTTAATTATTAATTCAGAATTTTCCATCGGCGCAAGCAACCTGGGATGGCGTCAACCCATTCCTTCAGATCTGTGGATGATGGTACAGGAAGAAAAAAATTATGAAATTGAAACTTCAGGCGCCGGACTGTGAAAGTGGCTCTGACTTCCAGGTTGCCAAAACTGAGAATCACCCATCCACTTACTCTTCCCTCCACAGACGGTAAATAAGATGGTTAGTTTAATTTGGATAGCCAATCTGCAACGAGCAAAGCAAGGCAATTGCTAATTTGATTAGTGTGGGAGAATTTCTTTTTCTAGCTTTGTATATAAATCAGGACCCATAAAATCAGATAGAAGAATTGAAATCCATCTTCTTCCTCGACATATTTGAGTTCTGACCAGATCTGATTGTTGTTGTTGGCTGCTGGGCTATGGTGGCGATGGTAGTCCTGGAGCAGGAGGGAAAGAATGGAGGTCAGGAAGAGAGGGAAAAAATTAACCAGAAAAAAAAAATGAAAAAGGATTCTGATTGAATCTGGGGGTGAGAGCCCTGATTCAATCTTTCGGATTCGACCCATTCCGACGAATTCGTATCCAACTAACCAAACACTCTAATAGATTCTGAATCCGAATCCTGATTCCGAATCCCACATAACAAACGGCTCCTTACACAAACTAAAGAAAAGTAGAGATCCACTAGTGTTAAAGTTTGGACGAAGCCCACGGGAAATTGGCTTACTTATCTGGGTACTTATTGACACCATAATGGGCTAAAGACCTGCAGTTGATTATCTACCATTGTGTTTGTCCCCCAATCAGAAAATCTTTTTTGTCATGTGTGTGCATTATCTGCAAATTCATTTCTCTGAGTATTTAATCTCTTTGTTTTGAACATTATTTTATCATGTAAGAAAGTGTATTCGAGAAATTATATATGAGTAGTGATATGTATAAGGAAAAAATAATAAGGAATGATGTGTAAAGATCTTAACTATGCCTTAACTTTAAATGCATAAACCCTGTTTGAAAAGTTTTAACAATCGATGGGTGAGATCATTTTCTTGTAATTTTTCCTTATACCAATGAAAGGTTTTGAAAAAAAAAATTGTGAAAAAAGGATCCAAACAAGGGCCGCTATCTATAGGGGTAAAATGAACCTGGTTGATTTGTGCCAGCCAAACTCTCTGTCAGGAGGATGATTCATTTGGTTTGAGGACGCTAATCAAGAAAAATGTCCATACCCCATGGATGATGGATGGTGACCCAAGAAAAATATCGAAATCTAGGCCCACTCCCAAGTGTCCCATAAAAATGACTCAACCCCGCTCAAGTCCAATAATTCCCTGCCACACCCAGCGCGCCAATTTTATGCTGCATTTTGATGATGGTAATAGTAACTCTTGTCAAGAACCAGAAAAGCCATTAGGAATTTTGGGAAGGTCATTCAATCATTATCCTTGCCGAATCAGTCACTGTCTTTATTTTTGACTTTAGCCAGGGACTTTGTATATGGATTCTTCATTCTTCTAAGTTCTAATCCAACTATTTATATTGCATTTATTTGTTGTTTGAAGGCGAGTTTTAATTTGACGATGCAGCCAATTTGTATCCTCGGGCCGGGTCCAATACTTGCGTGCTTGTCGTAATCGGTGACGGAGGAAACAAACAAGTTCTTGCCTTGACGTGAGTAAATTGTTTTCATTTTATATAACGTTAGTATGGCAACACAGCTAGCTTTCCTTTCTCTTCCTACCCTTTTAGCCCTATTCAGATATTTCTTCTTCATTAACCGCCTTTAACTTAAGAATTACAACTTAGGTTTTTTTGGTACAAAGAGACTAAAAAAAAAAAAATTAAACACCAAAGAACTAATGCCTTGGAATTTTACCTCAAATACATTTTGACCAAACTACTAGCATCCACTCGTGGTGTTAGACAAACAAGACCTAATTTTTTGCCGAGTATGAGAAAAAAGGTTTACACCTTGCAGTTACTAAATTACCGCATTATGTAGATATTTTACCCTCTTTGTTAGTTCCTTTTTTACTCGTTGAGCAACTGTTATCCAAGAATGTTAATGAAATAGCGTGAGAATCGGAAATTAAAATTAGTCATTTTCATTTAGTCACTTATGAAAGGTACATCTTTGTTGATGTTCCTTGAAATTCTTAACAAGTTAGTACCCCTACCCCGTACGATCATTGAATAAAGCAAATGTCCATGAAAAAGGGTATAAATATCTAGAGAGATATTTTTGCAAGATAGAAGCGGCTAGAGATGAATATAAATATCTGAATTCTTATTCGAGAAAGGGGGATCTGAATTGTTTGCAACAAAATATCAAAAATAGAAAGATGATCATTCAATAAAGAACTTTCTGCATAATACGGAAATTTATTTTATTAATAAATTACGAAAACAAGAATGGTATAATTTGACATGACATAATTTATTTTGAGACCGAGAGAAAGTATAAATTTGACAAGAAGATTGAACGGGAATTACCACAGACCTCTGTTGCTACTCCCACCAAACACAATGCACCTGCACTGCATTGTACTTTTTTTTTTTTCTCAACCACGCTTTTGATATGAATTTCATTTAAAATTGTAATTTACATTATTGATTTGCTTCGGTGAACAAAATATAAATTTGTCGGAAAAAAAAAGTGACTTATAAAGAAGATAGACGGAGAATGTAGTTTTATAGAATAACAAAATGCTGTCGTAGATGGATATTGTCTTGAAATTTCCAATGACGTCAAAGTTCACGCACACGTGGTTAAACGGTTGAAGTAGGCGAGTAACTGTGCGTACTAGTAGTAACTCGCACCGACCGGCGGCTGCTAAGGTAGAAACTTTAAAGAACTAGAAACTGGAAAGAGTATTTCTGGAGTTCTGTTAATAACTGGTGTACACACCACACAGTACTATTTGCTCGAAGTAGTTTAACCACACACGTCACTGTCCCCGTCAGCGTTTACTACGAATCTAAAATGCTCCTTATATCGAACCTCTTCTTGTACGGGCTGTACTACTAGTCTACCACTATATCTTTAATATATATATATTAAAAGAGAATTTTTAATTGGACACATAACGCGATATTAGATATACTAATCTATGTGGTGTAAAATTAGACATCCAAGTCCACCTGTCACAACCACATCAATCTATCATTTAATGGTAATTTTTAATATAAATTTGTAAATTTATAGATAAAACTAAATTAACTGGGAAATTTCTCAAAACTCTAATTGATAATATATTTTTTACCAACCATATCAATCACCAATTACCTAATTACCACAAAAAATAAAATCATTTTCGCATCCCTCCCAATTCATCCATTATGTTACGTGGACTAAAAATAAAATTATGGGAAAAATGATTGTGTGGCCAAACAAATCCAAATATAATATAGTTTAAAACTAATAATAAATATTTTCATCTATATAAGTACTTTCCTTTACGTAATATAATTTAAAGGTGACCAAAAAGAAATTTCAACTTAATAAACCCAAAGATAGCTAACTAAAAAAAAATTATAAAAAAAAACCAATTTGATGTAAAAAAAATATTGACGGTTAAGGTGAGAAAAATCAATTTACCAATCAATATTGATTTTGATAGTTATGTGTTAATTTTCAAGAAAATAATATTTAAGGAGAGGTCATTAAATTTAAGAAAAAATAGTAAGCACTATATTATAGGAAAAATATACGAACAAAATTCTAAAGAAAGGTTGTAAAAGGTATACAAAGAGATGGAAAATATAGATAAGTTTACATAAAGAAATAGTGAAAAATTTTCATGTTAGAATGAGTGTTTAAAAGATACTCCCTCCGTCCCAAAAAATAGTCCACATTGAATTTTCAAATTTGTACTAAAAATTGTACAAAACTCAAAACTCAATATGGACTATTTTTATAGGACAGGGGTAGTATATGACACATGTAAAAACGTTCAAAGAGATTATTATTAAAAACAATTAAGAGAATACATTTAAAAAATATAAAATCATAAATCAATAAAATGCAAAAAGACAAACAATATATTATATTGGATGATTTCAAACATTAAAAAATATTCTCAATGTACTTAAAATAACAAAACACATGACATTCAAAATTACACAATTACAATTTATATCATTAATAAAATTTTTTTAACATATATCGCTCCGTCGGAAATTTCAAATAATTAAATTATTAACCTCATATATATCTTGAATAACCCACACAACACGTCGGGTAAATACGAGTTATATAAAAGTTTGAGTTTTCTTTTTCTTCTTTTTTTTTTTTTTACCTCATATATATCTTGAATAACCCACACAACGCGTGGGGTAAATACTAGTTATATAAAAGTTTGAGTTTTCTTTTTCTTTTTCTTCTTTTTTTTTTTACCTAAAAATAAAATTAAAGTTGTGTTACTATATTAGTTAATGTCATCACTAATTCACTATCATATTTTATATATATAATTGTTCAGGGTTCACTATCAATTATGTATGCCAATTTTTAATCTTTACTTGAAGTAATCAATACAAGCATAAATTATAAGCATCAGATGATTTTAGTTCCAGAGAAATTGGGTAATTTGTCATAGACTTTTGCCTCAGTATGTCTAGATATAATATAATGTGTTCAAAATATGGATCCATGGCCTCTATTCATTCATAAATAAGTATTCGATTTAATTAAATGTAAATTGCACCGAGAGTATAATTCCATCCATGACTGTTTTGGGATGGAGATTGGAGAGTATGAATTGTGAATGTTCCCGTTTTCTTCACTCATTCTTTGATCACCGCCCTTTCCTCGCTAAAAGGGGAAAAAATGCAGTGCATGAATATATATAAGAATTTTATTATGGAAATACTGCATTATGTTTCTTTATCCGATCTTTAAGGTGTAAATAATTATTTTATAAGAATTAATGAATGTAATTAAATTGAGTAATCAGTACTCACCGTTTCTATCTAGAAATGTATAAAAGACACCAATAAACAAATACTTTATAGTAAATTTAAGTAGGAATAAAGTTGTATATTTTAAATACGTAATAAAATAATAAAAGATCAAACGTGTTCTAAATTAGGACTAGAATGAATATGATAGTCACCGTCGAAGAAAGTAACGAATCCTTCTCGCTTATGGTAGCGAATTCGATAAATAAGAGAGTTGGTTAAAAAATTTAAAATTATTTCATACCCATGCAGATATTGGAACCATCAATCTATAGTTAATGACGGATGAGTTCTTAAAACTTTACCACAACCTTTTGGTTTGAATATTATTATTCTTTGTTCCGAAATTCACCTCTTTACAAATAAACGCACTTAACAAAGAATGTTCCCTTCGAAAAAATTTAAGACGACTGGCTGACATCATACTGATGGAAGACGGCAAAGATCAACAAAAAATAAATATGAAAAAAAAAAAAAACCCCAAAAGCATTGTAAGTAACGCCCTGATCATGAAAACACAAGTAAAGGAAGATACCAAATTCATGGGACCTGTAGTTGTTTGGATTTGCATTTTGATTGTGTACTGAAATTTTTACTAAAAAAGTAAACTGTAACAGTTGAATTGTCAATTTAAGAAAGGATGATTATTGTCATTAACGATTGCGCTAATCAGCAACCAACAGCTTTGCGACCTTAATTATATTGTTTATAGTCTTGCACTTGCAGTTTGCTTCCTCTTTTTCTAGAAAAAAAAAAAGAAAAAAAAATCCTAAACTTATCACCATCTAGAAGGCAGCAACACGGCAAGTGGGGTTTGTGGCTGGCGCGTACTCGATTGCGACCCGGCCTTCTTCTCTCAGACTTACGCGGCACATAGCCTGACATTAGTGACCAGGCTGACCATTAATTACTACCTTAAATTTATTTTAATCACATTCATATTTGACAACGAAAGATTAACGTGACATACAAGTATACAGCACTCCATTATCACTTAAAAAATATTCCCTCCGATCCTTAATACAAACAATTTAATTTATTCTAAAATTTATCAAGTACATATTTAATTAAAAAAAATCTTAAAAATACTTTATGATCATCAAGAAAATGTGAAAATATAATTTTAACATTATTTTGATCAATTAAAAAATACATAGTAAGTGAAACTTTAAAAAAAAATCAAAATCCCTTATGTTTGAAGGTTATTTTATGAATTAAAAATGCGTAGTAAGTGAAATTTAAAAAAAAAATCAAGATACCTTATATTAAGGACAGGAGAAATTATTCCTCCATAAAATCATTTCGAAACACAAAAAATATAAATACATATGAATACTTTGTAATCCTCAAATAACTTCATAAGCTAGCTATGTTCATCCATAAAACCATCAAATATAATTATTTGTAGACCCAAAAATATTTCAAAACATGCAACGTAAAATGAGATAGTTAAAAAGGAAACTCTAATAAGCCTAAAAAACACATTACTTATATTCCCCAGGTCTCAAAATGAAAATGGTGTGAATATTATGCATCCTCCGTCATATAATAAAGTAAATGAATGATTTATTTGGGTGGACCGTGCATTACCGATCTTTTTATTTTGAGATGACAAAACTAATTCAAAGGATATTAATTAGCAATTGGTTAGTCCTACCTGATAATAGTACTAATTTATGAGTCCAAACCACACATATGTACATTGACATGTTCTACGAGTAAAGCAAGACGACATTGGAAGAGTAAAAAGTAAATGCATTTTGACAATTAACATTGTGACTATTGAGCAGATCCAATAACTCAATCTACCATTTTCTCCTCCAATTATAACTGGCGATAATTCAGAAATGGGAAAAATCTAAAACCATCTTATGCTTTGCCAAGGTATATCACAACTGGAAATTAGTACCCTATTCCAAACGTAGGGCCGACTCGCAATTAATGGGAAGCCGAAGAAATGAATCAGCCAAGAAAATTTCCGACAAATTATTGACCTTAATCCATTTCAGATTTTCTACAAGCAGCGCAGGACAATAGATAGATTGAAAACCAGATATCATGAATATCTGAATCCTAAGAATAAAGAAAAGGGTAAAAAAAAGAAAAAGAGTAAAATAACAGCGAAAGGGGTACGTAAAAAATGTACAATCACATATCAACATTTCAGGCCTGTCTTCTGGAAAATGGCTTTTTCCAATACCAACTTCTTCAATCATTTTCTTTCCAGCACAGCGTCGTATCATTTCCACCTTCCATCACAGTGTAAAAAAAGCAAAAAAAAAAAGCCCATCTATCTTTCTTTCTTTTTTTTTTTTCTTCTCTTTTTTCAACGGCTGAGATGATGAAATCATATCTTCTCCAATTTCTCTGCTTTGATAAGGGGATTCGCCTTTGCGATGGCTTCCCTCCCCATGGTCTTGAAATCGAACGTGCACCCGTGTTGTTCCGGGTACCGGTGGGTCCCGCAGAAGGTTATTCCACACCGACACCGGAATCCGGTCAACCCCACCTTCCTCCGACAGGTCGAACACCTGTTTGGCTGACAAACCGCCGCCGCCTGAGGTGCCGCCGCCGCCGCCACCACCGCCGTCCTTTCCGTACGGAGGGCTAGGGCCGGAGAATCATCCGATTTTACCGACGATGACGGTGACGGTATGGCCGAGGAGGAAGAAGAAGGAGGTAACGTGAATAAAGAATCCACGGCGGGCTTTGCGTTTGAGTCTTTGAAAAGGTCATGGTAGCACTTTGAGCAATAATTTTGGGTTGCTGGGCTGCCGAAGAACCCGCAATTATTCGCACAGAGACGGTGACCTTCTGGGGCCTGAAAACCATGTTCTTCCGCCATATTCTTCTCTTCAATTATTTCGTAATCAACAAAAATTGCAGAATCAGGCACGAATCACAGATACAAAAATAAATTCAGCTGTAGAGATAAAAAGGGATGGATGTATGAGGACGAAAAAATTGTATTTCGGGTTTCTCTGTGAGACGATGAGATGTATAAATATATATATATATTGGGGGAGGGGGAGGATTGAAATGGTTAATATAATGAGGGAGGCGGAGGTTGAAATGGAATCTTCAAAAGAAAATGAAAAAATTGAGAACAGGAAAAAAGAGGAAAGATGAAAGAAAGGGGACAAAAATTGAATAATGAAAATGAAAGAGAAAGAAGATAATAAAGAAATATCGACGTAGACAGCCTGGAGGTGGACCTTAATAATAATCAAAAAAAAAAAGAAAAGAAGGAAAAAGGTGGTTTAACTTAAAAAACAAGTAGAAGACCCAGCTTATTTTCCTCACATCTTCATCCAAAATGAATGGATTTTAGGCAATTTTTCATTTAAAGGGTTTTTCTTTACTGTAAAAATAGTGTAGCGACATTTATGACATCATTTTTTTGGGGGCAATTTATAAATTTTAAAACAGGTGTTTTTGGTGATGTAAATTTATTGATGATCATAAAAATTTTCTTTTTCTTTTGTGAGGCGTGGGAGGTGTGAGCGTGTGAGTGGGCTAAGGGACGCGTGGAAAGGGGTATGTGGTTAAGGGGAAAAAGGATCCAACCCAGAAAGAGAGGGAGATCATTAGGTGTTTGTATTGCGTGTCAAGTGCGAGTGGATTCGTGGGGTGCGGTCATGCCCAAAAATACCCCCCCTTTTTTTTCATTTTCGATTATATCGATAAATATAATGTAATTATAGTATTACAAAAAATAAGAAATTGTTAGTTATACTCCTTTGAAAAAGGTTTCTTTTTTTTTTGCCCCTTTATATTGTGTTCCTGAAAAATAATTTTTTATTATATTACTATTCTGATGTGAAGAAAGCATATTATACAATATGCTAATGATTGCATCTACGTCTGCTAATTGAATATAGTAACGTGTATATATATAAATATTTATTTTGAGAAATTAAATCATGTAATTCATATTTCAAAAATGGGTGAAATTATATCAACAATGAACGTTTCACTGCAAAAATTATGTTATTTTTGTGTCTAAAAAAATAGTCCTAATTTTAATTAAGATTTATATTCTATATAGTTCCGATTAAGTTTTGATGTTTGCACTATTTTAATATAAATTTCAAAAAATCAAATGTAGATTTTTTTTTTGATAGAGAGTAACATTGTTTCATAAAATGAACTTGCCCCCACCTAAAATTAAAGAGTTTTTGAAGACAAATTTCATATGATGGATCCTGCATGCATGCTGTTTGGTTCGGATTACAACAAATTAGGCTATAACTGCCGCCAATGATCATGTCATTTGGTGTGTTTGGTTTGGTTCAATGGTTGTATATATTAAAAACAGTTTAGTTGTGCCCTGCTCTTCTTTTTGTTATAAATCTTTTTTTTTTTTAATATAAACAAATTGTTCCATGCTTATCATACATCTCCCACCTTTATAATAATCATTCATACGCCCATACCCAAATAAACCTTTATAGATGTTGTTTCTATTACTCCCTGTGTCCCAAAATTATTGTTCAGTTCGAGATTTCATTTATAGTATAATTTAAACTAAAAATTAAAATTTAAACTGGACAATAATTATGTGACGGAAGGAGTATATTTTAATTCCATCTTAAGTTAATCACTCCTTCCTTGACTATTTTCTAATAGCCGGAAAACAAATCATGTTTGAACCGCAAAAGATGATTCCACAATTTATTTTCGTCCTCCTTCAACGTATAAAAAATAAAAATCATCTCCCATCCCTTGTAAGCCGTCAGGAGTTCATATTCCACAATTTTGCGAACCTCCTCTTTCAAATTTTTCACTTAAATCCACTCAACAAGAATCCCTTAAATACTTTCAAGTATCAAATGTAATTTTTTAAAATTACTATAATCACTAAAAAAAGAAAAAAAGATTTCGACCGAAAACACTAAATTTAGTGTTTTAATTTAAAGTTGACAGACACTAAATCAATGAACTATTTTAGGAGAAAATCTTTCATGTGCGCCATCCATTTTAGGCTTTCTAAACAAGTAGAAAAAGATTCCTTAAGCCATATCAAATTATCATTAGGTTCCATCAATCATCCCCCATTAAGATATTTTTAAAATCAGAAAACGGCCCCTTTACATATTTACATCAGGGAATGGCACAGTGGGAGATTAAAATGTGAACATGTTAATTAAATCTAACCTTTATTTTCCATTCGGCTCCTGTTGGGCTACTTGCGTATTGGCATAGCTGTATGAAAATCCACTTGGTATCTGAGGATATTTATTTTTTAGTACTATTAATAACAACGTTGGAAATTCGGATACCATTTCCTGCAGGCTTCAACTAGGCAAACACAACAACAATACAATACAATGTTCTTAAAAATGGGGCTTCCTGGTATTTGACCGAATTTTCTTTTCGTCAATTACAGACCATTAGACAAAAAATGATGACTCATCCCACAAACACTATTCTTTTAAATCTTTAATTAATTCATTAACTGACGTGACTTGGATAAGTATCGCATATCCTGATGAGTTTTAGCTGATATGGATTCTTATCATTTTCCATTTCCATTTTTTTTTTCTGTCCATTTCTACTAAATCCTATCCTGTGTCGGAATGCGCGCGCACACACACACACACATATATATTGAACTAGCAGTCAAAACCGTACTTTATTTCATTCTCAATTTTGTTTTTTTTCTCCCTCTTTCAAATTGATGCGTATTCTTTCGAATCTATAGTGCTAATAAGAGAGTAAGAGTGATGCCGGGCGACCGGAGGGGTAGTATTGCCGGAGAGATGGTGGGGGGTAGATATGTGTAGTTGCACCAGAAAATGTTGTTGGAAAGAAATTTCTGTTAGTGCTGCTTGAGTCTTTGTGGATCTTCCCTAATTACATTTTAGTATGCGTCACTAACCAAATATCCAAATGTACAATTCGGTTTTATAATTTTTAATATTTCCTCGGTTTTTTTTATTATAGAAATTAATTGTTTTTAAGTTTTAGAAAGATTTTTTTTTTCTTGAAAAAGAAATGTGGTCATTCTAATTACATCAACTATCAAGCTTATGGGAAAAACTAAATCAAATACCAGCCTTAATACCCAACACCGAAAGCAAAAAAGCTCACATTGATGGAGCTGATTTGCAGCTGTAGTAGTCCAAGTTGCAGGGGATGCAGCCGCGTTTTGAGGTGGAATTATTCAGATTTCTGAATAGTGAGTGATTGATTTGTTCCTCGATCTCTTGACTCTAAAAAGGTCCTTGTTTACCCATGGGGCCTGTATCCATCACTTCTTCGTAGTGGATTTAGGTCTCAGCATATCGCCCCCAAAAGTATGATTCCTACTTTTTTCCAGTCAGCTGAAGGCCCAAGGTTCCCTTGTCCCTTCCCTTCGTTATCATTTACAAAAATTACTGCTTACTAATTTACTATTTTCACAAGCTCAATTTGCCATTCTCTGTCGGTATTTTGCCATCCAATTCTTCTTTAGTTTTCATTATTTGGTTTTGGTTCGTTTGAGCAAAAGAGGAATCAGTTCTGCTGCGATTTGATATTGTTTTGATATCAGAAAAGGGCTGGATTCGAGTATGCCGAAAGTGGCACCATTCCAAATCTATCTTTTGTTGAAGTCAGTACAGATTCTTTTTTCTTTTTTTCTTTTTTTTCCAACTTGAAGGTTAGACAATGTATCACTAGTTCTAAGATATTTCTACTTAACTAATTATTGACTTTAAAAGGCAATTAAATCCATGGCTGACAATGTTTGAGTTATCATCAAATATATGTAACGAGAATGTTGTTTTTTTTTTTTTTTCCTAGTTTACAATACTTGAACTCTTCGCATTTTTCGAGGGATGGCAAGACTTTTTAATTCATTGTTCAATAATTTTACTTTTCGGTCGTCTAGTTTGAACTTTTATTTTTCAAAGATATTGGGAAAATTATCATAAAGGGCATCCAAAAGATCATAATTATTATAAACGGTATGGGCCTTTAATCATGAATAATAAAGTAATTTTGCATCTAACTGATTACTGTGTTGCCCTTTTATTCGCTTAACCTAATCCAATCCTCTACCGTAATTGCTCTTCCAAACCACAAAAAAAAAAAAAAACCAACTCTTCCAGACATTGCAGCAAAGCAATGCCAAATTAAAGTCATCTTTTTATGCACCAACAACAAATTAAATTAATTGATATTCTATTTTTTTTTCTTCCTTTTCTTTTATGCGTTAACATGCCCTGAAATGTTATAGGAGCGATTGGAAAGTCAAAGGTAGATGAGATGATAATTGTTTGGCGGATTGAAGGTTAGTGATGCAGAGATCGACTATAGAGCATAATGTATATCTTTTACTTGATGTTAAGCTAGAGATGAGACAAAGAAATTGGGAATTTGATGTGTGAATTAGAGTACGAAATGGAAGACGCCATGATTAGATTTTCATGACTTGATATTCACTTTGTATGTATTTCGTGTTAATTTTGCAAAGTCAGATAAAAGCAATCATCTTTTTGAGTTGCAGTAAATTGATGCAAGAATTCATGGATGAAAGAGGGACGTATGAGAGGAGAAGGGTAATATCGTCTTTGGTTGAAGTTTTTTTTTAATAAGAGTAATGATACGTAGACAGAAAATTTACAAGAACAAGGAATAAATTATCAATCATCTAAACTATATCCTAACCATAAATGCTTAAACCGTAAAAGTGTAAAAAATGAATGGTTATGATCAATTTCCTGTCATTTTTCCCTCCACGAATTATTATCTTTTTAATAATATTGAAAAAGAATAAATAAAGTTGATGCCCTTCATAATAATTTTCATATTTAGGATGCCCTTAACTAAAATTTTTCCAAAAATATTTTCTAATAAATTTGTAAATCAAAAAAGCAATCATGTTGAGACATATACTATTTGATGTTCAGGATAATTAGTTCGAAACGACATGAGTGCTCGCACAATTTTACCAAGCTGCAAGCAATGTGTTTCAAAGGTACTTTATCTATGTGCCTCGGTAACACAAACGATATCTCCTCTCAAAATAATCACTCCACTCCTTATTACATAAGACATTTTATCATAATTATTATTTATCGTGCTTTTTTAATTGGAATTGAAATCTTAAAATAATTATAATAATTGAGAAAATACAGTTAATATGAAAATATATTTTTAAGATTTTATTTTTAATTATAAAATATAATAAATAAAATTTAGGACAAATTAAAATGACTTATAATAACCTATTTATTTTGTAACCATTTCAAACCCAGTAATAGTAACATAATAGTTACCTAAGGTTGTCCACCTTCGACTTGCTCATTGCCCGATTTATGTTTATTCTTATACGGTAAAAAATTGAAAAAGCATGAAAAAAAAAAAGATTATAGAGAATGATAACGGAAGAAAATATAAATAGTGTCACATTTTGACAGTGTGGTGAAGGAAATTAGGTAGCCAGCCATGTGCAAAGTGCAAACCCCCAAGACTGCAGAAGAGAAGACTTCTTCGCCAGAAATTCATGGGACAGACTTTTGCTTATCCTTACTCACCAGTCATCCGGTGCCGGTGGGTAAAGGAACACCCGCCTGAAATTAATCTTCCAATCATACGGAAACACCCCCTTACTCATCTTCACCCCGTAATTTGTATATATTATCATTTCACGTGAAACAGAGGAAACTGGAGTCTTATTATATTATTCAGAATAAGAAAGAATTTGGTTTTTCTTGGAGAAATGAAGAAACTCCAGATTTGTCAACGGACGAGCTAAGTACCCGACAAATTTGTAGATGCTGCTGTCTTAACTGTCCGGTGCTTATGACAAAAATCTCATCCAATATTGGTGGGATTTCGGTTACAAGATTATAGACATAGCCATTCTGATATTATCAGTTTGTTTGGACTTTGACGTTCCTTGAGGAGGAGTTATTGATGGGAGATTTCAGAGAGTCAACCATGAACTTCAGTTGGCCCTGGTTGGGAAAGAAGAATGAAGATTTGTGGAGGGTTCTGTTTGTGTTGTTTCTCGGTCAACTGGTGTCTTTCGTAATGGCGCTAATGAGCTTCACCTCTTCCCTAATCGCAAATCTTGGTGAACTCCAAACTCCCTTCTCAGTTCTCATTATTGTTTCTATATTGCCTTGCGTGATTTATATTCTGTTCAATATCATTTTGATAGAAACTCCCAAGTGCGTTGAATGCTTTGAGAATTCGATTGCTCTTAATTGGTTTTAGATTTTTTTTACAATATATCGTTTGTTGTTTCGCAGGTGCAGATACGCCACTTACTCTATCATTCTTCTCTTATTCGGCTTTGGCTCTTGTGTATGGTGGCATTTTGGTGTACCGCCGCCAGAAACTGCTGGTATACTACCTAATTTTAGTTTTCCCTTCTGTAAATTAAAAATAAACTTGCTACTTTTGTTTGTGATGATTGTGAGCGGTTGTTATGTTTAACCCCAATGCTACATGTTATTTGTTGCTGCACTTCCTAGCTGTTTCTGTACATTTGCTGTCCAAATTGCATATTATTACAGTTGGATGACTGGAGCTAAGTCGTTCGACTTTATGCTTCTGAAACTTGATTGATTTGAGCAACCATATTGGGCTTGCAGGTTTCTTGGTATTGGTATCTTCTCTTGGGTTTTGTTGATGTTCAAGGGAATTATCTCGGTAAGCATGAGTTGATTATCTCTCCCGCCTTTTCATTGACCCTAAGTCCGAAATGCTTGGATGCACTAATTCTTCATTTGGAGCTCTGATAGTTTAAATGTTGAGGAGAAAAGTACGAGGAATGCCAGATGATTGATTCAAGTAGAACTTTAGGGAACCAGGCATCTTTCCCTGATTTACCTGTATCTTTATTTGTTCTTTACTCACTATGTGAAGTTTGATTCAATAGAGTGTCTTGTTTCTAGACTTAGAGCAGTTTAATTGTTAACTGAAACCAATATAGACTCTACTCTGGGAGGAAAAGCAGTTTTTTGACCTTTGATTGTCAATCATGCGGACTAGTATAATAAACTTGTCTTGGAAACCTTTGTTCATATTCATGACTGGATCTCATGTTTTCCTTCAGTTAATAAAGCCTTCCAGTATTCATCAATAACCAGTGTGACAATCTTGGATTGTTGGACAATCGCTTGGGTAATCATACTCACCTGGATTTTCCTTGGTACTCGGTATACTCCATGGCAATTTCTTGGTGCAGCTGTTTGTGTTGTGGGGCTTGGAGTGGTCCTTCTCTCTGATGCTGGGGTTGGTGGTGGAGGTAACGTTTCTATTCTATCTTCAATATCAATGTCCTCTGACTTCATTGGATTCAGGTTCTGAATTTTGAGTGTTTAACAGCTATCTGATACATTTTGCATACCACTAAGTTGCTCTTGTTAATATTTTCCAAAGTGAAATGTAAGTTTTCATCAAAGAAGAAGAATGGCATTCACAAACTGACCTAGGATTGCTCATTTGTGATACAATCATTTTGAAATTCTTTTCCACTGATAAACATCGCATCTATTATTTTTAGGTGGTTCAAGGCCTCTTTTTGGTGATTTTCTAGTTATAGGAGGGACCGTATTTTTTGCTCTGAGCAATGTTGGCGAGGTGAGTGAGTTTATGAGTTTCAAATCTTATTCTTCCCATGCTTTCTTTTTCTTCCGAGTTCACATTCTGAGAAATAGAGGTTGCAGAAGTTCTAACTTATTTTTCTATTTAATGGCTCAGGAATTTTGTGTGAAGAAGAAAGATCGTGTTGAAGTTATTTCAATGCTTGGCCTTTACGCAATGCTTGTGAGTGTCGGCCAGATGTATCCTTTTCTACGCTAACCGGTGTTGTAACTGATGCCGTTGCATGTCAGAATTTGATGTTTTTGTTGTCATTTTTATGAAAAGCTAAAGGTACATTTGTATGCTTTTCCATAATCATCCTTCAGAGCTGTCATCGAACGCAAGAATTTGGAAGCTGTCAAGTGGACTTCTGAAATTGTGGGTGGTTCTGTTTTAAAATAATAACTACAGTTTGACTCTATCTTTCCTTTTATATTGTCTTCTTTTTATTGGTAATAATGTCATGTGTGATATAACCTTTTGGTTGCACAATTTTTCCCGGAAAAATATTTATAAATCAAACTTCAAAAACTATTAGGGAGAATTTTTCTCTTGAGACACGTTTTTGGTAGAGCCTTCATATAGGTGACTGAGGTGATTTTCTGAGGTAAATGGGAGCAACATTACCAGTGTGATACAATTTTCTTCATTTCAATATAGAAAATTAGTAGCTTGGCATCCTTGTAACTTTTGGGCATCCGGTGGTTGTTTATGCATTAGTTTGAATTGATAAGAAATCCACCTTTTTTTTAACATATATTTTTTTAAACTGAATATTCGGTATTTGCCTCTCATTCACAGATATTAGCATTCTTTGGCTATGCAGTTGCGAGCTTTACATTCTACTCAGTTGTTCCTTTTGTTATGAAGGTGAGCTTCCCTAGCTAATCCTATGGATCATTTTCTTTGGGGCTGTGTAAAAACCCTTATGATCTTTAATCATCAATGTCAAGGTGAAGATCAAAACTTGGACTATTTTGCTTCCGAAAGTTAGTGTATAGCGATGTTTGTGAGCTCCAGGAAAATCATGTTTCCGCATCTTCTGCTTTTTACTACGTTATTAATGGTTGAATTTGGTTTGGAGTTTCATTACATTATGTCTAATGCCAAAAATAAAAATGGTCACAGATGAGCGGATCCACTCTCTTCAATCTTTCTATTCTCACATCCGACATGTGGGCTGTTGTCATTCGAATATTTTTCTACAAGCAGCAGGTAGCTCCATGACTTCTCTGTGGCTTCTGATGTCATATAAACTTCAGTTTTCTTCTTGTCCTTCATGTTTAAAGAAGTTACAGTTGCACTTGTGGACTTAATAGAATGTGCCACTTAGCTAGCTAGAGAGCTTTCTGAGAGTTTTACATCATTTTACCTCTTGAAATTGCAGGTTGACTGGTTATATTATCTAGCCTTTGCATTGGTGGGTATTGGCCTCATTATATACTCCAAGAGGTAACGGCCAGCTATTACACATTCTGATACCATATAATGCTTTATATCAGTTCAGCTGCAGCTAATCTTCATTCGATCTAGTGCATCCGAATACACTACTAAGAGCCCCCTCCATGTTTGACAGCGACAATAACCCCATTGAAGTAGTCGAGGATGAAGACCCCGTCGCCCAGCTTGGGTTGCTGGATGATGAAGCCACAGATAGCAGAGACGATGGGCCAGTGCCGCCATTATGAGTTGTTTGTATTTGCTTGCTCGAAATTAATTAATAACGCAGAAGAAGGAAAAAGATGGTTGTGAGACCCCAGAATCAAGACCAAACAGACTTTTTCTGGAGAGCCAAATGATACTATACTCTTTTATGACATAAGATGATCTCTATGCATATACACGTAGTCTAGAACAAATATAAGCTCAGCTGAGTTGGATTTGTGAAGTAGTAATTGATTGAAGTCCCCTTCTGATCTTGATCATTGATTGTAATATAGTTATGAGACATAGTACTTCAAAGTTACAAATTGGCATTCTCTTTTGTACTAGTGCAGGGCCTGCTCTCAGTTTTTCCCCATCCAATTATTGCAACGGAATGGAACGGTTCTTATATAAGTATTCCTGCTTCGTTTTGAGATGCTTATCATTGTTGGTTCGAGTGAAGAAAGTAGTAGTGTGTGTCTGATACTCTGATCTGATACTATTAGTTCAAAAACAAGGCCATAATGGAGAGAGCCGAAAGTGGCAAGTCGGTTCATAACCTATTTCCAAATCTCAACTAGAAAAAGCTTTTGATTAAAAACACGTCTGATCCATGCCAAGTAATTGACCTCTAAATAGGCCATTACTCAGTGGCATCTTGTGTTCAAGTATATCACACGGTGGTGGTGGTGGTGGGATAATGTTTATCAGGACTTGAAACCGAGGCATTAATTAGTTCAACCTATATTTTTCTAACTCCATTCTTATTTTTGGGAATAGGGGAAGAGAGAGTAGCCGTGGACAACTTTTGTCTGTGGTGCATAACACGTCATTTTTCCTTCTCAATTCCCATAGCTCTATGCCTCTATCATCAGAGAAATATAAATTTCAAGCCATATTTATTGGCTAGTCATGTAATTAATTATTATTATTATTATTTTTTTTGATATTATACACCCATTATTTGAAATTATTCGACTAATCCAAATTCGAGCCGGATAGGTCTATTTCAGGATGCAAAACTCTTCCAACAAGTATTTTAATTACTACTGTATGCTCACATCTGAGTTCGAACTCGGATCGTAGTTAATCCACATTCGAGCCGGATAGGTCTATTTCAAGAGGCAAAATTCTTTCAATAAGTATTTTAATTACTGCTGTATGCTTAAGTCCGAGTTCGAACCCGGATAGTAGTTACACTGACCCAATACCTTTACCAGTTTGACAAGTGCTTGTTGGTGTTAGTCATGTAATTATTGTTTTATCGTTTTGTTGCAAGATGTTAATAATATTTATATGCGGGAAGAACACCAAAACGAAATAAAAATGAGAATATAAAAAGGTAGTTGACAATTTGATGTTAACTTGTGAACCATTAGCCATGACCAGGACAGCAGAACTAACTGCAGAAGACTTCTGGAACTCATGTTTAGGATCATATCCTCCAATTATAAGGCAAGCATTAGCATCTCACTGTCATTAGTACATTATTGTTTCACGTGTACAAACGACTGAGATACTAGTATCATTTTAGCATTAATTAAGGAGAAGTTGGGGTTTTCTTGGAGAAATGAAACGAGTCTAGATTTGTAAACTGGCGGCAGCAGCAGTCGAGAAACTTGGTGATGATTTTGGTCAACTGTCAAGTGCGGATGACAAAAATCTGTGGGATTTCGGTTACAAGATTATAGCAATTCTGAGATCATCAGTTTGTTTGGACTTTGAAGTTCTTGTTTGGGAGTTCCGGTGAGACAGCCATGAACTTCATCAAGTGGCGCTGGTGGAGTCAGAGGAATGAAGATTTGTACCGGGTTCTGCTTGTATTGTTTCTTGGTCAAGTGGTTTCTTTCGCAATGGCGTTAGCTCACTTCACATCTTCCTTAATCGCCAATCTTGGTAAACTGTGTGATCTTCCTTTTTTCTATCATCTTCCTTCTTGAATCTTCGATTGGTAGTGCCTAGTTTGCCTTAATCATTTTCACAATGTCATCATTTCGTGTGGGTGTGCAGGTGCAAATACGCCACTTACTCTATCATTCTTCTCTTACTCGGCTTTGGCCCTTGTGTATGGTAGCATTTTGGTGTACCGCCGACAGAAACTCCTGGTATACTTCCTTGTTTCAGTTTATTCTTTCCTTAAATATGTACTCTCTACAGTTGCTTTTGATTGTAAGAAAGTACGTTCGCAGTCCAAATTGCACATTTTGATCATTGGCCGTGTAAAGTCGTTCTACTTTATGCTTCTGGAACCCAATTGGTTTGAAATACAGTACTACATTGATTCTGCAGGTCCCTTGGTATTGGTATCTTCTCTTGGGTTTTGTTGATGTCCAAGGAAATTATCTCGGTAAGCTTAAGTTGATTATCCTCCCTCGTTCCCCTGCCTTTTGATTGATCCTGATGCTTAGATGCAATTTTGGGATTCCTCATTTGGGGATCAGATACATCAAATATTGAGGACAAGAGTATGAAGAATGTGAGAGAATTGATTTACTTGTATCTTTATTAGTTCTGTTTCAGACAACTTAATTCAACACAGTTTCTCATTTTGAGACTTATCACATGCTAATCATTTTACTAAAAGCAAGATAGACACACATTACTGTGGGAGGCGATGCAATTTTCGGACCTTTGATCATCAATCATTTGGGTTAGTAGAATAAATAACGTTGTTTTGGAAGCCTGATTGGATCTTATGTTTTCATTCAGTTAACAAAGCTTACCAGTACACAACAATAACTAGTGTGACAATCCTGGATTGCTGGACAATTGCATGGGTAGTCATACTCACATGGATTTTCCTCGGCACTCGATATACCCCATGGCAATTTTGTGGTGCGGCTGTCTGCATTCTGGGGCTTGGAATGGTACTTCTATCTGATGCTCGGGTTGGTGGTGGAGGTGATGATTCTGTTCCATCTTTGATATCTTTTTCTTTTGATTTCTTTAGATTTAGGTTTATAAATTTCAGGTGTTTATTTCTTTGTTACAAGGTGTTAATATCACTAAGATGTTTTCGCTAAAATGTTATTATTAGCAATGTAAGTTATGTGGCAAGATGAAGAATGAAATTCACGAACAGGCCTAGGCTTAACTGTGCTATGATCACCTGAAATTTTTACCTAGTACTAATAAACATCCCATCTGTTTTGTTTTCAGGTGGTTCAAGGCCCTTTTTTGGAGATTTGCTAGTAATAGGAGGGACTGTATGTTATGCCCTGAGCAATGTTGGCGAGGTGAGTGACCTTTTTTAGTGGAAAGCTTTAATTGGGATGCCGAGCTGACCTTTTCTTTTGAGGAACATTCTGAGTGAGCGTAAAGAAATGGAGGCTGCAGATTCTTATTTATCTTTCACTTTAATGGCTCAGGAGTTTTGTGTGAAGAAGAAAGATCGTGTTGAAGTTATATCAATGCTTGGCCTTTTCGCAATGCTCGTGAGTGTTGGTCAGATGTATCCTTTCATTAGCTAATGGGGATTGTTACTCCATCGCATATGTAAAGTTTAATGCTTTTGGCATCATCTTTTGGCTGAGCTAAAGATAAACCTCTACTTTTCCATAATCATCCTTCAGAGCTGTCACGGAACTTAAGAGTTTGGAAGCTGTCAAGTGGACTTCAGAAATGGTGAGTATGAATATATCAAAAGTCAAGGCCATAAGCAAAAAGTTTTCTCTCGAACACGCATTATTGGAGGTGGTTGGAGATGATATTTTGAGGTCAATTGGAGTAAAGTTACTGGAGCGATAAACTTATAATTTATTTTTGATATAATGTACCAGTAGCTGAGTCCTTATGTATTAGTCTGAATGGATGAAGAAATCCATGTTCTGACTTTGCTTTTGTCCTTCATTTTCAGATATTAGCATTCTTTGGTTATGCAGTGGCAAGCTTTACATTCTATTCTGTCGTTCCTTTTGTTATGAAGGTGAGCTTCTTGTTACAATCCAGCAAAGCCTTTTGGTCATTAATCATCAATGCTAGCGTGAAGATCAAAACTTGAGCTGTTGGTGCTTATCAAAGTCAGCTGTTGATGTTTCTGTTTCTCTTGCTTTTTACTGCATTAGATGCAGAGTTAGTTTTGAGTTTCATTACACTACGTTAAATTCCAAAATAAAAAATGGCCACAGATGAGCGGAGCCACTCTCTTCAATCTGTCTCTTCTCACATCTGATATGTGGGCTGTTGTCATCCGTATTTTTTTCTACAAGCAGCAGGTAAATTCCGCTATTGTTGTTTTGCTTCTGATACCGGATTAGTTCAGTTTTTCCTCTTGTACTTTGTGCACAAAGAATTTTAGGTTTTCACATTGGCAATGATTAGCAGCTTTCTGAGAGCTCAAAATTGACATTATTACATCATTTTGCCTGATGAAATAGGTTGACTGGTTATACTATCTAGCTTTTGCATTAGTAGGTGTTGGCCTCACTATATACTCCAAGAGGTAAATGCCCAACTATTCTGCATTCTGATACTAAATATATTCAGCTGCATCTAATCTTCATCTAAGCTGGTGCATCGAATACTAGTAACTGCACCCTCATGTTTGACAGCGATAATAGCCCCATGGGAGCTGTCGAGGATGAAGACCCCGTCTCCCATCTTGGATTGCTGGAGGATGAAGCAACAGATTTCAGAGACAACGAGGCTGCACGGCCATTATGAATAGTTCGTGTTTGCTTGCTTGAAATCATTGAAACACACATCAGAAAAAGGAAATGTGGTAGTTGCAATACCCGGATCTCAAGTCTCTACCATAAGGACTTGTTGTGGAAAGCCAACCCTGGGGTTAGTACAAATATAGGAGGCTCTACTGAGTCAGATTAGTTGGTGGAGTAACTAATTGGAAGTCTCCTCAGATTTTGATCATTGTAGCTCCTGCCTAAAGTGATTTGCGTTTGTACAAAGTCTCAATGAGAAATCATCTTCTATGAATTGCATCATACACAACTACTTCGTTTTAGAACACAAGTAGGAAACATCTCTACAGCGTTACAAATTGATTAAGAACTTTCTTTCATCTTTTTTTTTTGGGATCGAGTGATTGATACAACGATTATGTCTAATGCATCCATCTTAGAGGTCGAACGTTTGAATAAAAAGTATGTTAATTATCAAAAAAAAAGTCTAAATTTCCTAATTTTGTTTGTTTCGTGACGAGTTAAATTGCATTTAGAATGGGAGAAAAAATTTATACAAACACACTACTCTTTTTCACTCGAGGAACACTGGAAAATAGTTATCTATAAAGGGAGGCGGGAAAAGGAAGGGGCAAAGTTTTCCCCAAATAAGGAGGAACTATAAATAGGAACTGAGAAACTATTAAATCCCCAAATCGATTCTCCACGTTTGAACCATGGAGCAGACAACACCACCACCGCCACCGCCACCCAACCCTCAACCATCAGAAACGCAACCGCAGCCCTCGCCGCCGGTTCCTTCGCCTCCGGCCACCACCAGCACCTCCGCCGATGTCCCGTCCCCCGCCCTTCCTCCGAATCCCAGCGCAATGCCGCTTGCTCCGGCATCAACTTCTCCTCTGCCGTCGTCCCTCCCCTATCCATCTCAGAACCCTAATACGCCGACGCCCGCCACCGCTCTTTCGCAAGGAACTTCTCCCCAAGTAAGGCCGACGCCGTACAATAGACCTTGGCCGCCGCAGCAGCAACAACAACCGGCTCCTTCTTCCCAATTCTCTCACTTCCCTGTGCATCCTGCACCTCATTCTTCCTCAGCCGCTGGCAATCCTACCTCGCCGTCCATGGGTTTGTTACCCCCGGCACAAAGGGGTGGAATGGCTCTTGGGGTTCCCGCCGCCGCGCACCACCCAGGCGCTCCTAGTCCTGCACCGCCTTCTTCTTTTCCGTCACATAATCCACAGTCTTTTGGGCAGCCCTACGGTGGGATGGGGCGTGGTTTACCTGATTCTGGGCAAACTTCAAGCTCACCCCAGGTAGGGTTTTAAGTCCTCCATTTTAACATTCTGTTTCGCTGCGGATTTCTATAATTTGCTTGTTGTCATTTTCTTTTTATTTCATTATCGCCTGTGGTTTATTGTTGATTTTGATGCTTGTAGGTAAGACCAATGATGGGAGCATTGGGTTCAAGCTCGGTAATGCGTCCACCAGCGGCAGGTACCCCTCATCAGTTAAGGCCTGTCCAATCCTCGCCTAGACCACAATCCACTCCTAATCTCCAACCACCTACCGCTACCGCACAGGTTTGATTCAAGATTTTGATTTCTTTTGTTGAGTGGACGGTTTAACTTAGGTGCAACTTCTTATACCATTTGCTACTCTGAACTTCCCGCTTCGTTTTTCTTTTTAATGGTCTGGCCTTTGTAATTTGAAAGTTTGAAAAATTTCTTTGCGACATTAGGAGTTAGGATATTTATGGTGCATTAGTAAGTGTTTCTCTTATCAAATGGATTGTGTTGGACGAGGAAGCATGTTAAGTCTTAAATGGTTATCTTATTATAAGGGTCAAAAAGACTTCTAAACTTATGTGAAATTGCTGGAAAATTAGACAGGAGTTTCTATCTTCCACCTTCCCCATAGTTTTCATGTTGTTCTTAGCTCATGTGCGATGTATTTGTTTAGTGCTGCATTGGGTACTTCGAAGTTTCAAAGTTTCAGGCCATCTCTTGTGGGTTTTGGTGTTCTTACTCTTGTCCACTTGCAGGGTTTTCCAAGTCATGGGATGTTAAGAGGTCCGGCCGTAGGATCTCCAGGAGCACCTTCACCTAGTAGTTCACAAAATTTGCAGACTCACAATCAACCATGGTTAAGTGCAAGCTCACAGGTGAGCCAACAAGTAAAACCACCTTTGCCACCATCTCATAAGCCCCAGGTTAGCGCACAGTCCATGCAGCAGAGATCTCATATACCTCCACAGCATCACGCTACTGTGAGTACAGTGTCTCAGCAACAGCAAGTTTCACAGGCTCAACAATCTCAACAACCTTCGACTTCTGGGACTCAGGAGCATCATGGACAGCCATTTTCACAACCTAGGATCCAGCATTCTGTACCTAACCAACAACAGGTTGCTAGAAGTCCGAGTTTAGGAACTCAAAGAGCACCTCAAGCAACAATCCCTACCTCTGCTGCACAGTCTAGTATCCCCGTTAGATCATCTAATGCCGAACCTGAGGAACCCTGTAACAGGATTTTGAGAAAGAGAAGCATCCAAGAGCTTGTAACCCAAGTGAGCAGTCATGATACTTCTTTCTGTGCATTCTCTTAGAGAAACTTTATCTGTGCATTTGTAGCATGGGGAGAGAATAACTTATTTTCTGGGTTAACTCTTCTTCAAATGTATCACTCATAGATTTGTCACATTTTTTCTATTTACTCTCCCCTTTGGATTATGCACCTGATTTCTTGACATTGCTTAACTTTGTTCACAGGTTGACCCATTTGAGAAGTTAGATCCTGATGTCGAAGATATTCTTGTAGATATAGCAGAGGACTTTATTGAGTCGGTAAGTTGCTCTCTTTTTCTGTCAGGATTCCTCTGCCAACCTATTTAAGCAAACACATATATGTCCGTTGTTGGCTGACTTTATGAATGCCGATGACTTGTGGAGGGTTTCTTTGTTTTCCTTGACTATTCAATATTGTTATTACCAGATTACATCATTCGGATGTTCACTGGCAAAGCATCGCAAGTCCACAACATTGGAAGCAAAGGACATTCTTCTGCATCTTGGTTAGCACTTTATATTGCGGCTTGGAATTTTTGAATTTTGCTGTTTTTTTTTTTAAAAAAATTATTTATAGAATGTTTTCAATTTCTAACCCCATGTTCTTTGCTTCAGAAAGAAACTGGAACATGACTCTTCCAGGATTTAGTGGAGATGAGATAAAGACATACAAAAAACCGGTAAAACTTTCTAAATCCTCTTTATGTAGGAGGCCTATCGTCTAGACGATTATGAAGCAGAAATTTGATACTCTGGTGATGATTTTAGAGAACTTGTGTGATGATGATATTTCTTCTCTAACTCTAATGATTCTTTCCTCTTATGGTTTTGCAGTTCATCAGTGATATCCACAAAGAGCGACTTGCAGTGGTAGGCATTGCTTCATTTTGTTCTTTTGGGCGTTAATCATTCCTCCATAATTATTGTTGATGAATACAATCTTGGGGAATGTTTCCTTTCTTAGTTTTCTGTGAATGGGTAACCGGTGTAGGAAAGGATTGGTTCTTTTCGATCTCTTTTCTGTTTCAATGGATTTTGTGTCATGTTAAGAAATGTTCCTGACTCTGACAGATAAAGAAGTCGATTCTTGCTGGTGAGACGGTAAATTCAAAGAGTGTGGCTGGACAAGCTGGTGGAAATCCTAAGAGTCATGCAGCCAAAGGGGGGCCTAGTAGCTTAGTGGGTTCCCCTCCACCTAAGGTCCGTGAAGCTGCCTGATGAGAATGACGCTGCTTCCTCTTTTTTTTGGTACAGAACTGAGTTTGACTTTGACCTTCTAACTTGCTACTGGTATTCTACGCTGGATTATGTAGTAGTAGTTATTCACCATTTGTTGCATAACATTGCCCAAAAGGGAGATGAGGTGGAAAAACCGAAACAATACAGTAAGCCGGAAAAGCCCAAAGCCGATTTGTTTACCGGCTAAGAACAGAAAATAGAATCATTTTGACATGGTCGTTTCTGACGGTTTGCTTTCTTAATTGTTCTTTATTTTTCTTCTAAGGGAAACATTAATCAAGTATATATTTTTTTTGGTGCAATAAAAGAAGCGATTGCCTAAAAGTATTAAACCATTAAAGTACGTTGGTAAGAGATACCAGTGACATCATGCTCTAATCTTTGAGGTGATCTCAATTATGGATCTTTTGAACCGTAATTCGATTAACAAGAAGATTAGTATTGCTTATTATAGTGCTGGAGTAAAATAAATTTCTTATTCGATAGCACTGATACGAGAGAACCTAATAACACCACAAAGTAAACTTTATGATTTAATCACCTTGAACTTGCTGATAGAATGCAATTTGTTGGTACTTCTTATAATCTTAATTATAAACTACAAATTTAATTTATTTTATATAACAATTAGGACGAAAGATAGTACTATTAATTTCTAATTTACTCTCCAGCAGTTTTGGGAACGGGAAAGGATAACATTTGGGATTATATACACGTCATTAAACAGCAGGCCGGATGGTCATTTTTGTGATTGGGATTAGGCGTGTATTAGTTATTTAAGTGGAACCAATCATCACGTTGGAGTCGAGTCAGCTCGTTAATCCAGGTTAAAATATTAGCGTAAAAGGTACTATTAACTGAAGCTGATCCCTAAAACAAATTACATATTGCATTGAATTTTGATCTTAATTTTTTCTTTTCTTGGGTACAGATGTTGATCTTAAATTAACGAACTACTATATGAATTCAATATTACATAATCATATCTTAATGTGACTCTTTTATTTGCACCAACTTAAAATGCAATATTCAAATCTTAATGAATCATTTTCATCACTGATAAGCCACAATTTAAGAAGTAGAAAATTCGTTTTGTACATTAGCAATTTGAAATAAACTATTCCTTCTGGATGGCTTTTAGTACTGATTGAATCATCACTCAAAATCATTCATGATTAGCCTGTCATTTGTCAATGGTATTCGTGAATAATTAATGTTACGCTACATGCTTTGATTAGAGCACCATTTGGTGTCTAATCTTTGACAAATTACGCAACAACATAAATTCAATTCAATAATTGACTGTAAATTGAAGAATACAAAATTCGCTGAGTAGAAATCGATCAGCTAGCCAAAGACAACCAAAAAAAAAAAAAAGAAAAAAAAAAGAGGAGGGACAAAATCGAATAATCGAATATAGAAGAATATTACTATCATAATTACCTCAATAATTCCATATCCAACAATGCCTATGCAATTTTTAACCACAAAAAAAAAAAAATGGAGTGAAAAAAAGGGTGGAACTTGGAAGCCCAACCTTGTTTATTTAGAGAATAGGAATCTGAATTCCAACCATCTCATCATCGTCATCGTCAATTCCAACACGTCTGTCACTTGTACAAGTATCTAAACTAACTTTTTAGCCCCGCTTTGTTTTACCAAAGTGTGTGTCTAAATTGTTAGTTAAATTGCCTCGCGTTTCCTCTCCCGGTCGCTCCGCATTGTCCTTTCATTTTTTCCGTCACCCAATTCCAGAATAATTCTTGTATTTTTTGTGAAAAATAATGTCGAATTCCAATGGGAATGTTAACGGGGTGGTGATGGATGATGGGGCAGCGGAATTGGACTTTTCTGGTGTCAAGAAGCGCGAGAAGCTCATCATTGATACCGATCCTGGTATTGGTATGTGTTTATTTGTGATTTAGATTGACCCCATTTGGGGATTCTTGTACTCCGTATTAACTTTTTGGAAATAGATTCGATTCTGCAAACTTTTCGAGCTTTTTTTATAGTGGTGGAACGTTGATTTCTTGTGTATTCCCTTTAGCTTTTGAGATATGGGCTTTTGTGGGGCTGCTGATGTCTGTAAACTTTGAATGACGAATATTCTGATCTCGGATCGGGTTTGTGAAAAGGGGAAAAAAAACCCCGATGAGGGTTATATTAAATTGCTTGTAGTCTTGTTGGGGTATGCTAAAATGGACATATGCCTTTCTGAGTATGCTGCTTGTCATGCCATCTTTTGGTTTTTTTGGGCTTGGTCTTATCCCAGACTAAGTTCCACTTTCTATCTGAAAGGAAAAGTAGCTACTTTTATTCCTCCACTTCGGCCAGAATATACTTATAATCAAATGTATATGTTTTGTCTTCCTCTTCAATTTATAACTTGAATTGTGGATGAAGTTGGGGCATTTCTGTATTGGTTACAGTGAAAATTTCCAGGAACTGAAAAAGTGAACTTTTTGAAACAGGTACAGCTAATAAACTACTGTTATAAGTCCTTTTTTTGGTCTCCTTAATGTATAGGTGTAAGTTTTGGTGCTTTTTTTTTTCACAATTGAAAGTAAGTTTATCTGTTGGTTAGTGATTTGGCTTCTAGCTGTCTTTAGAACCTTTTTGTACTTATTTATACCTTGGTTGTGGAGTTGGATGCATACCGTACAAGGAAAGTTCATAGCAGAATTTTTTTTGGTTACATTAAGGTTAATCTATTGTGATGGATGCATCTTGTGAGCAATTTTATAACTTATTCATGAGCACCTTTCACCCTTAATATCTTTCTGTTCTCATTTGTGAAGTATTATAGATTAAAAATGGTGTTGTTATTTACTTACAGATGATAGTATGGCCATATTGATGGCCTACCAGTCCCCGGAGTTGGAGATTTTAGGATTAACAACAATATTTGGTAATGTAACTACAGAAAATGCTACACGCAATGCCTTGCTTCTGGTATGTTGCATCTATGCTTTGCAACAATATTGTTTCATTCTTTGAACTTCCTTTGTTTGGAGCATGTGCATAATCCGCATCTAATCTTAATGTGCAAAAGGATAGAGTGAGATAGCAGGATGTCCGGGTATTCCAGTAGCAGAGGGTAGTCCTGGACCTCTCAAGGTAACCATTAATATAAGTCAATCTGTTCATGCAACTATTTGAAAGTAATGTTGGTTTTTAAATGGCGCCATAAATACAAAGTTGATATAAGGCACTCACTGATCAAGAAAGGGTATCTACGATATGCTTAAAAGACAGTTGTTTGTAGTTCCGGTTTTTTCTTTGATCATTTTGATCGTGATCTGTCTTCTGTAAACTAGGGTGGCATACCACGTGTTGCAGACTTTGTTCATGGAAAAGATGGGCTGGGGAACATTTTTATTCCTCCTCCAGAAACTAAGAAAATTGAGAAATTGGCATCTGCTTTCTTAGTAGATAAAGTTTCTGAATATCCTGGTGAAGTAACAATACTTGCATTGGGACCTTTAACGAACTTAGCATTGGTTAGTTTGAAATTCTCTTTACAATGCATCTCATGAACTTAATAGTTCCCATTTCATCCCTTTCCGATATCAACCATTTTCTTGTTCCTTGATTTAGGCTGTCAAGAGGGACTCAACATTTGCAAGCAAGGTGAAAAGAATCGTAGTTCTTGGTGGATCTTTCTTTGCTTTAGGGAACGTCAATCCTGCTGCTGAAGCAAATGTATGTTATAGCTTAAGTTCTTGTTGACTCAAATTTAGGCATGGAGACCGATCACCTGCTTTCATGTTCCGTAGATTTGTGGGGTTCTCTTTTATTAAGTCGGAGTTGTCTCAGTGTGGCTCTAATAAAGTCTGAAAGTTTTCCTTCTGAAACAAATCGATAGTGTCCTGTTTGGAAAGGTCATGCATTCTTATTAGTCATTCACTAGTAGCACTTAATTCCTGGCTATGTGGAAGTGTCTTCTGTTCTGTTATCCATTTCCATGAGGAATCTTTTAGTGTGAATTAGTTCAATGGTGCAACTGGCCGGCATGTAAAAGATCTTACAATCTGAGTTGGTGGCCTAGGCCCTGAAAGATTTGAAGCTCGGTCTGTTGAAAGGATTGCTGGATTGGGCACTTTAAATTTCACTGTCATATTAGATGACTGTTTATTATTCTTCGGGTTTCTTCCTGATAATCTAGCCGTCAGAACACGTCTTTTTTCAGATGTAACCATTACCTGAGACTTATTATTGCAGATTTATGGTGATCCTGAAGCAGCAGATGTAGTATTCACCTCCGGGGCCAATATTGATGTTATTGGCCTAAACATTACGACACAAGTCAAAATGACAGGTGTTTCACCCTTTCCTTTCTTCTGATTTCCCTGTTACTGACCTATGTCTATCTTTCTTGTGACAAAATTGGTCCTTTCTTACTTATATTCTCTTATGTTTTTAGATGCCGACCTTGATGAATTGAAACAGTCCAATGGTAAACATGCTCAATTCTTGAGCAACATCTGCAAATTTTACAGAGACTGGCATGTCAAATCTGACGGTGTCTATGGTAATTTGGCTCTTCAACGAATGTTGCGTTTCTCGTTCAATGGCTGAAAATTAATGCATAGACATTTCTCTGCACAGGAATTTTCTTCATGACCCCATCAGCTTTGTAGCAGTAGTGCAGCGTGATCTTTTCACATTTAAGAAGGGAGTTGTGAGGGTTGAGACACAGGGTATCTGCGTGGGGCATACATTGATGGACCAAGGACTTAAAGCGTAAGCATTATGTTCAATTTGCTATTTACCTTCCCCCGCCCCCCGCCCCCCTTAAATCATGTCTATTTTAACAATGTATCAAAAAACTATCTTCTGATCAGGTGGAATTCAAGCAACCCATGGACAGGCTACTCTCCTATCTCAGTTGCATGGTCTGTGAATGTGGATGAAGTACTTAGTTACATCAAGAAAAAACTGATGCAGTCCTGATTTTAGAAGTTGGTACTTTTTTTGCTTTAACATGTTGAAAAGTACCAAGGATTTGAACACCAGATCTTAGGGTTATAGGTGTTCTTGGTCCATTCATCTCCTCTGATTCTCTCTGTAATTATTCCTGAACATTGTTTTTGAAGCTGGGAACGGGGCAAAGGGGTCCTTTTCTTGCTTGCAGATGCTCTGTAACTTTTTACACCATAGGGTCAAAGATAAGATAACAGGTTTGCGCTTTGCACTGTTAAAACTTTAAGAGAGTTTTATTTCCATTCTGCAGTTGACTTACTTTTAATAGTCGGGGCCTGAAATTGACCGTAGACGCCGGGGTGAAAAAAGTCCACAAACATAAACACAATTTCCTGGATTCCCATGACTTTAAAAAAATTGGAGACGACTATTCTTTTTACCAATCTGGTCTTATCGATGAGGCGGGAGTATTAAACTGTGTCTTATACATAAGTGTTGTATAAGTGTCGTTGGCAGTTAAAAGTGGGGAAAGATTTGAAAGTCTAATTGGGATGTCCTCGAATAGCTTTACCTGTTGTTAATCAACTAGTTGAAGATCTCTGGCTCATTTCACTTCAGCATGATCATATGATCTCATCACCGATTTTGTCTCAGGACCCGAGATATTAGTACTCGTGTCTCATCACCGATTTAGTTTGAATTTTCATGTTTAGTGTTCCATGTGTTTCAAAATTATTGTTCAGTTTGGGTGTTCACTTTCAGTTCATGTTGTACTATATATGAAAATCTAAACCAGACAATAATTTCGGGACGGAGAGAATACATATTACATGAAAAGTGAAAATTCAAATTAGACAATAATTTTGAGAATGAGTATTATTTTTTCTTTACTTTTTGCCGGACCAAATAAAGTGGTCAATGGAGCAGTTGTTCAGTTTGGTTTGGTTTCAAGAACATAGATTTAATGTCGTGATGGTGAATTCGCCATGGTATTTGGAGTGATTGTCAATTTAGTATACGGATTCGTTGACAAAGTCACATCAAACTGATGTAAGCCAATACACCCCCATAAGTTCATAAGTAATGATTAATTTTTTAAAGAGTTAAGCTGTCCTAGATCCTTACATGTTAAGAGTAAAATCTCCCTCAGAATCAATCTTCTTCTCTTTTAATGAGTGATTAACTCCAAAAAACGTCAACTAATAAGTCAAGCCTTTGATTTGAAAGCACCAAAAAACACTCCATAAAATATTGCGAACCAAAAGACGGGGCTGCTAACTTCTTCTTTTAACCCCTCTTAGAAATTGACCTCCTCATTGACCAAAGTTACGCACGCTTAGCCATAAAATTAAGGAAAACGTTAAGGTTAGGGCATCATGATATCACACCCGTGATCAAATACTAAAGCACTCCCAAAGAAACAAGACACAGAATTGGTCCAAAAATTTAACAAACCCTTGACCCTCAACATGGATTATACTACTAGTAAAATGAAGAACAAGTCAGAAAAGCAGAACCGACTTTCCCTCCAATAAATATATATGTATTTAATTCTGTAAGCAGCCAGCAGCTATATATACATAGAAGTAGGTCTTCATCTTCTTCAGTAGTATTCAGTGCCACCAGAAATTCAATAATAGCAGTTTTAACTAACTTTTCCCTCCTCTTTCTCAGTTTTTATTTAAAGTTGTCTTAATTAGAAGACAGTTACCCTACCAAAAAAAAAAAAAAAAATACTCCTCAAATTCAGAAAGAAAAACTAGCAAAAACCCACCCAAATCAAAAGTATCAGCTTAACCACTCCAACAAATTAGCCTACACGTTCACTCCAAATCAAACAAAAACCTCTTGATTTCACTACTCACCTGCAACACCAACAATAACAACACCACCAACAACAACTGATCCACATGAAAATCCTTCCTACTCCTCAACCTAAATTCCTTTCAAATACTTAATTTTAGTCCCTTGTAAACGCAAAACAAGTAGAAGAAAATAAACCGTTGATCGAATTCGATGTCGGGACGGATTCAGGCGGCAGCTGCGGTGGCGGAAACGGTGTCGTGGTACTGCGCCTTGTTGTTGGCGGTAATGTTGGTTTTGAGTTGCTGTGATTCAGCTGACAATGAATTTGATCATCATCGTCAATTCCACAGAAACGACGAGGTAGTAATGCTGACGAGGGAGCGGCCGTGTGATGAGATTTATGTGGTAAGAGAAGGGGAGACTCTGCATACCATCAGTGAAAAATGCGGGGATCCGTTTATCGTGGAAGAGAACCCACACATTCACGACCCGGATGATGTTTTCCCTGGATTAGTCATCAAGATCACCCCTTTCAAACATAGTTAGGCCTAATAATAATTAAGAAAAACGTTTGTACTTCTCTGTTTATTAGTACATAACTCTTTCTTCACATTTTAATAGCTAGCTGGTAAAGCTCCGGCCTTCTCTGTTTTGGCCTGAGTTTCTTGTTCTTTTTTTTTTTTTTTTTGGCATTGAAAATCTCATATGAATATGATGAAATCAAACTTCGAGTTTCTCCCCGTCTCAGTTGTTGCTTTATTTTTCTCCATTTTGCTGCAGAAATTTGGAAGATTAACCGTTTTTTAACCGAATCCGTCATGGCAGCATGATGGTGGGTAATTTTTATTTTTGGGGACTCATACGTCAATTTTAAGATCTTATTATTGGTTAATTATTAGTGTGGCTTATGATGTTTCCTCTGAAGACTGTGATGGGCTCCCAACTATATGGGCCAAAGCCCAAGTAATTAAGTAAGTTTGACCCAACTTATGTTTTGTCATCAGCCTAAGGTTTAAGTCCACTAAAAGGTAGTAAAATGCAGCCAAAATAAGGAGTGCGTGCTATTTATGGGAACAAGAACCGAAGATAGAGAGAGGGAGCTGAAAATTTCCAACAAGGGTTCCACTGTAACAGCTTCTGAATTCTTCAAGGTTGGAGAGGCAATCTTTATCCGTTAGTCCTGAAATTTGGACTGACTCATCGATCTTCATTTCCACTAAAGGGTTTTAGTGTTCGTCGGATAGATTGTGACTATTGTATTTTTGAAGTTACTGATAGTTTTGTGGATGTTTAATTGATCTTTTGATCTTGTATTGATATTTTAGTGCCTTTGTAGCTTGGTTTAGCTTAGGTGAGGACTAGATATCCTTATTGTATTGTTGGACTGGTGTACTCCTACTCTTATTTGGTGATAGTGGATTTGATAGGTCTTTTGGTTTCATGTTTTTTACTCCTTCACACCGAAAGGGTTTTCCACGTAAATTGGTGTTGAGTGTTGTTTTTGCTTTCTTGTTGTTTCATTAATAACTTTACTTCCAATTGATATTAATGTTTTTCGCTCTTACTAGATTCTTACAAATTGGGGAGGCTTTAGTTTGTTTTCACTGTGCTAAAGCTAGTTCGTGTTAGATTAGCTAGTTTGTTTAGTTTGGTCATCGCCTCCCAACATACACCACTATATGTCTCCGGCATAATTTGTTGCACCTACCCTACGGTACGTACAAATAAATAAATATAGTCTGGCAACGAACAAGCTGTGATCTGATAAGAGTTCCATCATCTGAACATCTGATGTCTAACAACGGGACGCTGGTTCACCTAGATATTTTGTTGATTGATTGCAAATTTGCAATATGGGTCTCCTTCTACCGCCTTTCTCAACCTAGTAATGCAAACCATTCTCGTCCTATTATAAAGACACAATTTTGAAGCAAATTTCATTTTTTAATTATGGATTAAAAATAGTATTGAAGCGAAGTAGTTCACTTGGTTGTACTTCGTTGGTTAGTTGATTTGATCCATTCAGCCCAATCACATATGGTTTTAGTTAATGGAGGAATTCCTATCAGGAAACTAGTTTTTTATGGGGGAATATATGTTAACCCTCCTGGAAATGATGATCAGTTTATTTCGCTACATTCGAAGCATGGAAAAAAAATGGACCATCTCCAAGTGAAATTCGATAATGAAATAAAACATGGTGCAAAAGCCTCCATTTAAAAATAAGTGTCACTAGAGTTGGTTACATACTTCCTTTTCTTTTCTTTTTTTTTGAGAGGGACATAATATAAAATCGCAGTGTGTATTTTTGCTAACCAAATTAATAGGACTACATTGTTAAAAAATTTCCATATATGCTGGAATCAGTTATTAAGGATTTTGCCGTATATATATGAACATCCAAGTATTCTTATTTTATCAGGGGAACGTTAACTGTAGCCCAAGTTATGCTAAATGTACCCCAACTTGTTTATAGTCCCTCAGTTTTATTAGGAAGCTACATAAAACTTCGAGGCCAAAAAACTAAAATCTGTCACTAACATGGAGGAAGAAGTGAGATCGAAATTCAGAGTGCTCTCTGCTCTGTTCTCACCTTTAAGTTCACGGCCAAACTTATAGTCCGAAATGAGTTGATTAGCCCAAATCTGTCTACTAGGCTTGAAAGGTCCATCTAGCAGAGTCTGGTCTAAGTAAATAAAACCATAAGCATCAAGATTCGCTTGCTAATCAACATGCGTAAATTAAAATGGGAATCACCTAGTATAATGCGGGCTGCTTCATTAATTATAGAGATAGGAGATTTACAAACTATTCTAGTCAAAATCGACTCAATTAAGCTGGGGACAAAGTCACATTAGTGATATCTTTACTACGAGGAAAAGTGAAAAAAAAAGAAAAGGATAAAGCAAAAGGTATAATAAGAAACTGTAAAAACAAAGAGATTCCACTACTTAATAACCTCTAAAGTCTAAATAACACCATTTTAATTTCAATCCGCAAAAACTCATCCTAAACATCCTTTCAATTATCAATCAATCAATCATGAAAAGATCCAATTGGAACCACAACTTGATCATTTCTCTACTTACCTTGTCATCATTCATTTTAGGCTTCACAAATGCTCAATCAAAGCTCTGCAGAACATCCTGTGGAGACATCCCAATCAAATACCCATTCGGCATCGATGATGGCTGCGGAAGCCCATATTACAGACACCTCTTCATCTGTTCATCAGATTCAGGACAAAACCAAAAACAACAACAATTGGAGCTCAGAACACCTTCAGGAAGATATCCCATAAAAAACATAACCTATTCAGATCCTCACATCCTTGTTTCCGACCCCTTCATGTGGAATTGCCAAGACGGCATCAATTTCCGTCCAGCCAGACCATTCAGCTTAGACGCCAGCACCCATTTCAAGCTCTCAGCTCAAAACGACTACCTGTTTTTCAACTGCAGCCCGGATGAAGTGATCATGGAGCCCAAGCCCATGTTCTGCGAGCGTTTCCCTGAGCAATGTGATTCCACCTGCGACAGCTCCAGTTACCTGTGCCGGCATATGCCGGAATGCGCGTCGGCGTTGAGGGGAAGTTCCTGTTGTTCTTACTATCCTAAATCGACGGAGTCGTTGAGGCTGATGTTAAGGCATTGCGCTAGTTATGCTAGTGTTTATTGGAGGAACCTCGGTGTGACTCCGCCGTTTGATCAGGTCCCGGAATACGGTGTCCGGGTTGATTTCGAGATTCCGGTGACGACACGGTGTTTGCAGTGTGAGGATCCGGTCAAGGGCGGTGGGATTTGTGGGTTTGATTCCCAGACACAGAATTTCTTGTGCCTTTGTCCCAAAGGAAACGTTACTACTTTTTGCCACGGTATGCTTGCTTACTGCTTTAGTGCTTTTTGCAGAGTTTTTATATCAAGAGGATATTTTACTTCCTCTATTCTTAAAATAAATAAATAAATAAATAAAAATAGTCCAAATTATACTTCATGATTTCTCTACTAACTATCATAGCAAACTAATTGTTTGATGTATTTATCTGCGTTTCAGATCCTAACATCTCTCAGCACACGAGATCCACAGTAGTTGCAGGTTGGTAAATTCACAAATTTCCAATTTATGGGATGCATTTTTATTTACTTAATTATTTATTTTGCATAGATGATGTATACTTCGTATTCATTAGTTATATTTACGCTGTCTCAAAAAAATAATCTATATTGAATTTTGAGATTTTTACTAATTTTAGTACAAATTTGAATACTCAATGTGGATTTTTTTTTAGATAGAATATGCAGTAAATAAAGTAGAGTATTAAAGTGGGACGAAGTAACACTATTGTCTGGGGGGTAAACTGATAATATTAGTCATGAAAATTGCTCTGCACCTGATTAGCATTTTGAATTAATTGTTTCTCTCTTCTCTCTACATATGTTGTGTATTTCTATGATCAGGTACGGCGACGGCAGTTTCAGTGGTGGGAGCATTTGGGATTGGAGCAGGCGTTTGGTATGTGAGGAAAGTGATGACAAAAGCCCCAGTGACTCACGGAGTTGTAAGCAATGAGAACAGACTTTTTTGATTTTGTAAATTCTTGCTTCCAATTTTTTCCTTTTAATTTTTTTTACTAAACATGAAATTATAAAGATGTTTTACGAAGTGAGTTTTTTTTTTTTTTTGAGATTATCAATGTACTCAAAGATCGATATTCAGCACATGAAAATACACTATACAAGTACTCCGTAATTCCTCTACATATTTTCTATCAGACAGACATACAAGTGAATAACCTAGATACTTTGTATATTTTCTCAGAGTATCTACTATGAAAGGTTATTTAAATAATTTTGAACAGTCTAGTACAAATTTTACCACGATATATTACATCCTTCATAGAGCATATGTACACGAAAATTGAAGAACACGCTCTTGCAGCTAAAAGTAGACATACCCCATTTTGGCTTTTGTCTCACACACCAGTACTTCATCCGTCTCATAATTATTGTCTAATTTGAGTTTTTATTTTTAGTTCAAATTGAAAACTCAAACTGAACAATAATTATGAAACAGAGGGAGTATCTTTTTCCAACCGCCAAATCGTTTTTTTTTTTTTAGAACAATGCTAGTAAACGCTTCTTTGATTTGGCCATGCAAATATTGTCAGCTTTCTAATACAATTATACACGCTTCATGAATAACACCGAAGAAAGTTCAATATTTAAACAAACTTTCATTAGATAACTGGGTATCAGCATTAAAAAAAAATCATGAATAATAATCACTAATGTCGCAGACTCCATAGCATAATCCCAATTTTTTGAAAAGGGAATAATCCCAATTGACTTAAGCATAAACATGCATTTAAGCATAAACATGCATCATTATATTTGCTTTCTACTGTTAGTAAAATCTTGATTGATTCCGAAAAGAAAGAAATAGATCAAAATGACAGTCTTTGCTGCACCAAATTCAGATAACATTTATATTGGCCCATTTGAGAAAACTGAGGGATTTATACCTAAATAGATTAAGATTATAACTTTCTCTTTAGCATTTTATCAAACACATTATAAATGACTGATCATGCGCATGCTTCATATTCTAAATTAAACTAATATGGAATCTAAATGCAACTCTTATCAATAGCTTATCATTTTTTCTTAACCAAATTCTTCTTTTTTTTTTTCTTTTTTTTTTTGAGGAGGAGGAACCAAATTCATTATGCTGTTAGACATATAAAACTAATAATTGTTAGAAAATGGGCTCGTAAAAGTTGTAGATATTGTAATATCCCAAAATGTGTGCTCAGTATTATATGGATGCCTAACCCCAACTAAGTACAGATGTGGGTTCTATGTACCTGAAAGTAGCCCAGCAAATTAACTTGCAAGGTAGCCCAACAGAAAGCTTTTGTGTTTAGTTGAACGGAAGAGAAGAGCATTGTAATTACGAACATTGCATATCTAAAAAATTCAGAAAATATTCAGTTAGGTAACTAGTGACTACAACACATATTGTTGATATCATAATTTAGTGTTAAATTTTTTGCTGTGAACACAAAATGGCAGATTGACCGGAAGAAACAGAAAAACTCCCCGTCACCCTGTAGTAGGTGAAAGTTTGTACAGTACAAAAGTTTGGTGGTGGTAGTGATGGTGGAGATGGGATGGCATTCATGCATGCGGAGGCCGGAATTCTCTACCAAATTTTAATCATAACAATATTGCCTTTTGCGAGCCCCTAAAATAATTTTTAAATTTTTTTTTTTTTTTTTAGTGGTGGGACTGTGACTTATATTGTGGGTTCTATAAAAAATATTTTGCCAAGTGCCAGCTTGCCACCCCACCGGGGGGGAGGGGGGGTCCTTCCTTGGAACAAAAGCTGCTTCCACCACCATCATCATTTCACATTTACAATAATTCCCCGCCATATATATTCCTTTTGTTTTCAACTACAACTTTCCCATATATATAACCCAAAATCCAAAACCAACTTCCAAATTTCATTCATAAACGAATCCAAAAAATAAAAAATAAAAAAAAAATCTACATCCCCGTGGATTTCATTCATGGAGCTCCACAAGTTCTTGCTTGTCCTCCTCTTACTTACTTCAACTATCCTTGTTGCCTCAGGTAATCGCAATATCATATTTCCTTCGCCATTTCTTATACCGCTCAATTATTTTTTTTTTACGATTTCTTATTTCATTTTGGGATGCAGGGGATACAAGTGTGCATGAATCATCGATTGATCATCCTCGTCATCATCATCATCATCGCCATCGGCACCACCGGCATAGCCATCAGTACTATGTGGATCAACGGAACAAGAAATACGGGTTTGATAAGCTGTTTGTATTCGGAGACTCGTACGCAGACACCGGGAATATTCAGAAATCTCTTGGGAATTCCTGGAAGCCACCCTATGGTATCACCTTTCCCGGGAAGCCCGCTGGCCGCTTCTCTGATGGCCGTGTCCTCACTGATTACATTGGTACGTTCGTTTATTTATTTTTTTTTGTAATTTAAAGTTTTAAACTAATATTAAAGCTCTCTTTGTTCAACAATCAACACCTTCTTCTGCCTTTTGGGTTGCTTTCATTTCATTTCATACTACCATCATTATCTGTGCTTCACTTTATTATCTGTATGGCTTTTTTGGTCTCTCTTTTTTCCTTTTCTTAAGCATAAACAATTGAGATACCACTTTATGCATTTTACAATTTTACATGCTGATGAGATATAAAAAGAAAATTGTAATCACTAAATGGGCTATATGGTGGATTACTGAACCCTACCCATCTTTCTTTTGTTTGATTGCTAGAGGGCCACTCTCACCACAATATGGTCTTATTCTCACTTTGTTTTCTTCCTTTCTTGTGTCTGAAATCTGATTTCTGATGAGCTAGCTACTAGTCCTTGGTATCCATCCTTGCCTTGCATAATTGAGTCTTTTTCTTTTAAATTCTGCTTTTGTCAGCTCCATATACCTTCTTTTTCTTCCATTTTTTGTTTGGTCCTTTAACTTTCCCCACGTGATGTTAACGTTTGTACGCAAGAAAGCATCCAATTATACACCATAATTTTTATTTTATTTTATTTTTTGTATTCTGTTTGATATCTAATCAAATCAAATCTTAATTTCCTGTATTTTTCTTTTCCTTCTTGTTAATTAGTGGCAAGCATCTTCACCAGCTCTCGTCTTCTAGCGCTTGCCGGTGGCCATTTTCTTTGTCGGTTTAGCTTAATGATTCTCTCCATCTTGAATAACAATATTAGTCTTCTTACTTTTCTTTTTAATTGCTTTAGTTGAATGAAATAACAAATGGACCAGTATATATCTCGACCTTTACGAAAATGTCCATTTCCTTGGTTATGTCTTAGCACAGATATTGACTAGCATGATTGCAAGTATCTTCCTTTTCACTCTCAAAATCCATCACAGAATCCAGACCACACCTAATTTGTGATGGGGCTCGAGTACACTCCTATATGTTCTTTTTTCGAATATACTACCTCCAAAAGTATTCTGTAATACTTCCTCTACTCTTTAATATATGATATTTTAATTTATTTGACCTAGTATATAATTTTAATTAGAAAAAAATTTTAAAAATATTTTTTAACAATTAAGAGAACACAACGAATTTGAAAATATATTTTTAAATTTTTTTCTTTAATAAAAATGCATACAACGTGAAATTCAGAACAAATCAAAATACTCTATATTAAGAACGGGAGAAGTATTCTCTTAGTCAACAAATACAGTACGACTGTTTTCTTGAGACGGACTTAATATAAAATTGAAGTGTATGGTTCCGTCTCCTCTGCCATCATCCCTGCTGATAGATATAGCTTAACAAATTAATAGTACTACGTTGTTATAGAATTTGTCCAAATATACTGGAATCAGTTAATAAGGATTTTGGTGAACATTATATGAACAGCCAAATACTATGGAATCAAGTCACCAGTGGCATACCGATGGATAAAGTATTTCCCGAAGAAATTGCGGAGTGGGGTGAACTTTGCATACGGCGGCACCGGCGTGTTGGACACCTTGGTTCCGGAACCCAACATGACTACACAGATTGATTTCTTCCAGCAACTCCTCGACAATAAAGTCTACAACAAAGTTGACTTGCAGTCAGCCCTATTTCTGGTCAGCCTTGCCGGAAATGATTATAGTGCTTATATCGCCAAAGGCGGCATCGCAGAGGTAAATCAACCCATTACCGTTTACATCAATATAATCCATGGTTGAAATAACGTGCATAATTCATTAATCACAAATTAAATTATTTTTGTAACTTTTGGTGACAGGGTTTGCCAGCGTTTATAACAAGTGTGATCAAGCAACTGGGAGTGAATTTGAAACGACTTCGTTCATTGGGAGCCAGGAAGATAGCAGTAACTGGTTTGGAGCCTTTAGGATGTCTCCCGGTTAACACAGTCCAGACGTCATTCCAACAATGCAATGCTACTGCAAACACAGCCGTGGCTTTCCACAATGTCTTGCTGAATGAAGCAGTTTCAAAATTGAATATCGAGATCGGGTACAATGCTTGTACCGTTCTCGATCTCTTCAATTCTTTTACCACAGTACTAATGCACAAGGGAGACATTACAGGTAATATAATCAATAGAGCAATGATATGTATAGTGACTGTTCATAGTGAAATAGAATAGTGATGAAAAAGACAAAAAAAAAAAAACAAACCCAATACTATTCTTCCGAAAACTACCAACAAAATAGAGGGTGATTATGTATTTATACACATACTATATCGGTCACTATTTTATTTCGCTATATATTTTCAATATCTATATCATTTTCCTAATCAATAATACGTAAATTCTGAACTTACATAATTATTGTACGTATGATTTATAATCAATGCAAAAGCGTGGATGCATGATTCATGTAAGATTGGATGATGTGCAGGAAGTTTGAAGTTTGAAACACCATTGAAACCGTGTTGCATGGGGATAAGCCCAACAGATCGGTGCGGAAGCGTGGACGAAAACGGGAAGAAACTGTACGTAGTTTGCAATGATACGAATTCGGCATTCTTTTGGGATGGGGTGCACCCAACACAAGCTGGGTGGCATGCTGTGTCTTTAGCTTTAAAACCTGTTCTTGACCAAATTGTGTAACTACGAATATAATTTTTAGTAGTATTAATTTGTTGTCCAATGTCTAGATTGTGCCCTAGTTTATTTTTCATTTTGTACCATCTTTTTCCCTAGCGTGCATTTTGTTTTGGCTCGCCTCAAAAGAAATTTGGACTGCCAGCATTTGTAATGCTCTGTACTTATGTGTAAGTTCTCAATCCAATAATGAAATAATTAATCTGCATTCCTTTCAAATATGGTACTTATGGCATGCACTTATGTTTTTCTGTGTGTTTTTTCAACTTCCAGACAAAAATAAATAAATAAAATTCCACCACTAAATATGTTGGCTAAACACGTTAACATTTCCCTCTTTTGAACAAAATATGTATATATCTCAAGCGTGTAAATTATCGATGAAACTATTTTGAAATTTCATATAAAAATTAATAATACTCTCTCCGTGCATCTTGTTTTAATAATTTGATTTTATTGAATTTAATAATATATATTTTCAGTGAACCATTTAAATTTGTGAAAGTGAGCAATAGAGGGACAAAATAAGTACTATTTCGGTCTCAAAAAAATATTACTCCCTCCATTTCAAAGTAAGTGTCGTTTTAATAAAATGAAAAAATTCTAAAATAAGTGTCGTTCTCACATTTCAATGCACTTTTTGTCAAAAGTTTCTAAAATTACTCTCAAAAGAGTTGATGCTATTGGTGGATAATTTTATCATTTGGTTGAGGATATTCAAGTAATTTTATTACCCTATTTAAGAGTTTCTTAAACTACGTGCAAAGTGTAGCAAGACACCTATTTTGGAATGGAGGGAGTAATTCATTTTGAGTTTTCATTTTTAAATTTTTTTTAATATCAAAATTCAAAGTGGACTATTTTTTTTACGAGGTAATGAATAATGAATTTTACTTGGCCCCACACACCATGACAACGGGCCAGATATTGTGGCATTCGCTTATTTTGTTTTCTTGCGGTTTCGTACATTGAATCTGAACTGCATCGGGAACAAAGACGCCGGTTCGCCTCATTTGCATTTTGCTCCGCCGAGGATTGCTTTGGCTTTCAGAGCGGGAAAAGGCAACCAGGTATGCTTAATTTCTATCGCCATTAACGAGCAGCCATTGCTTCTTTTTTTCTCTCGTGGGTTCTGTATTATTAACTGTTCTATTTCGCGATAATCCGTGTCTAATCGCGATTCTAGAAGTGTTATATTTTTTGGTTCGGATTGAAAACTTGTTAGGTGTTGAGCCGGCGATTTCTTATGTGTTCTGGTAATAGGTCTCAGATGTAAATGTGAGCTGCGTTTTTGAGCTTTTTTGCTTGATTGTTATTGCTATGTTGTACGTTAGAGAGGTAACATTATCCGCTCGGTGTCTATTTCGATGGCATTTTATCGAACGAAAGTCATTGAAATATCGGTGAAGTTTTGATGAATATTTGGAATTTAGATTTGCGAATAAACGCGCACAAGTATTTGATGCAGCAATGCATGAGTATATGTTTTACTAAGGTGTAAGATATAATGTCCATAAATGACACAACATAAATGAAAGTATTGAAAAATGTGTTTTGAGCAGTAAAATCCAAATAACATTTTCATCTTCTCTATAGATTTGTAAAAACAAATGTAAATCAAGTCCAAGGTCAGCCTTTGTTTCCTCCTTGCATTGCAGTATTGCACTCCAATTGGTGGCGGAAAAACACATAGTTGTTGATAAATCGTCTTCCTACCTCTTCGTTAAGTAACCGTGTGAACTTTGCGGGTAATTTCCAAATTCTCACCTACTTTTGGATGACAACATGAGAATTTCCAGATGAACTTCGGTGCCGTAATGCATTATCTCTTTGGTAAATTGTGTACAGTAAATGTCACAAACAAATAATTGATTCTTTATTCTGACTGTATGAAACTCTTAAATGTGAGTTAGTTTTTGGTGAGAAAATTTTGTAGCTTCTATTTGTTGTTTTATTTTATTATTATACCAGGTAAAAGCCCCCTTTTTTCTGCTCATCAACTTCTGCCTCTATCAATTTTCAGCAGTATACTGCTACTTGGATTTTTCAAGATTTTAAATGATGCTTGTTTGAATCACATAAACATGGACTCATTCCTTCATTGTAATTGATGTACTCTTTCTTGGTGTTCTTGTTTTGTATCATTTGCTTAAAGAAGCAAGGGATAGTCAGGCAGGAAAGTCTTTCTTTACCTCTTAAGTTGATAGTCTATGGTGGCCAATTTAATTTATAGATGCAAATTTCTTAGTTTCCTTCCTCTAGCAAACATGAGGACTACTTTTCCCCTTTTTTTTCCCCCAGAAAACAGCTTTTGATGTCTTGCTTTGGTTTATGTCGCTTTTATTGTAATGAGAAGTTCTAATAGAAGATTATAACTTTGTTTTGTATAAATATTCCTGTGGTTTCAGTTGGATCTGTGATTTTTTATAGATGCGTTGATGTCATCATCAAAGGAAAAAGTTTACTTGAAGGGATTTTTTTTATTGTAGTGCATACCGGCATTGAAAATTTCTATTCTTGAAGCATTAACTGTTTCAAACTGTGGACTTTGTTTTCTAGCCATTAGATATAATTACCTAGTCAAATTTGAAGAACGAGTCATTATCAAAAATTATACTTATGCAAATTGCTACAGCATAACAAGTGTGTGTGTGTATGTGCATTTAGGAAGGTCCATGTATGCATATGATATGAGTCTAATTCCCTCGTGCAATCGTCAGCTTCATTTACTTGTTTAAGTTGGCAAGTCCCATCTTGAATAGTTCAGTCTGAACACTGAGACTGTGAAGCTGAAGATTGTTCTGTCAACACTTCATTTTCATTTGAAAGTGAGAAAAGTAGGTTTTAAATTGTGCTTCGTTTCCAGTAGGGTAAAAGATACAGAAGGTTTTGATTGGTGATTCTCATGCTTCTCTGATCAAGGAAGATAACTTATTAAGATTTGCAGGGATTAGGAAACAAAAATGAAAATAAAAAATTAGTGGGCTTTCTTTCTAATGTGAGCATTCGTTTTAGGGGAGAACAAGCTGTAGCTTACTCTAACAGAAGAGGAATATTGGCTTTGCATTTCCCAAATGATGACTTAAGCCTCAGTGTCAAAACCATTTTTCCTGTTCTGATCAGATTATGATGTTTTTTAGCTGTCATAATTTATATAACAAAGACAGTCTGGCATCTTTTGCAATCCTGCAGAAATTTTGTGTGGTCGGCAGCAGGGTTTTACTACATCTGAGTTTGAAATGATTTTGCATTCTCAACATAAAAGCTATTGCCATGCGACCTGAGATCGTGGCGTTCAATTGCAGAAATAGTTCGTTATAGAAATAGAAGCCAACCCCACCTAGTGGGAAAAAGGCTTGTTGTTGTTGTATAGAAATAGAAGCTGCATGTATCAGGCCCTAGTGGCCACGACCTTCTTCATACCCTGCACTTGGAGGAACTTAGAGTTCTATACACCAGGCTGCCTCTTTTAATTGTAGATTCCTCACTCTTAACCCCAAACATGAAGGTAAAAAGATAAGAAGGCAGTCGTGATCACTGCACATTACATATTCTCCTCTTGAAACCTCAAGTTTTTAACACATATTTGTAGATTAATAGAGGTCTGGCTTGCAACTAATGGATGCGTTAAATATATAAAACCATTTAGATTACAGAATTTAGCACATCATATCTTATATCTTTGATGCTCGAGGTGGTATCCCAATACAATGCACCTGATGTCTTAGCTTTAGTTATGGAATATTTTAATGCAATCATTTACATCTGATAGCTACATCTTCTTTTTTATAAAAGAACTTTTAGCTTATCTGTTTTGAATGATTCATATCAAGCCAATGTTTTTATAATTTTATCCATTTCTGCTTTGAAATATGTTGTTCATTATGAGTTTGTTGCCACCGAGTTCATTTTTTGAAGAACTCCAATATTTTAATCTGCTTATAAATCTCATTAGCTTTGCTCATTCTGATTATTTTCTTTTGTTTTTCTTCTCCTAAATATTGTTTGCTGGCCTCTTTGAGTGGCTACTTTACTGTTGCTTAAAAGTGTTAATTAAAGTAGCACATCAGGTATTATTTTTCTGGAAATTTCATATAAACCAATAGAAATCTCTCAAAATGGTAGGTTGGAATCCATATGCAATGATTGATTTTAGTCTGTTCTCTGCAATATTTTATAGAAAAGAGAATCCTTGTGCTTTTTGGATATTGTGGCAGGCCAGTAATTATATAACGAAAAGATGCGATTATTAAATCTCAATTTTAAATTTGGCATGTGGATGCTTCTGAGTAGTGCTGGTGTACAGTTTAAAATTTAAAAATAAAAAATGTTACACGCTTGCTGGGATTATATTATTGAAAATCTCACCCTATATCCACTTTTGTGAATCTAGAGCAGATGACTCAACAGGTGACTCAATAATGTGTTTTCTTTGAGTCACCTGAGTAAGTCATAAAGAGTGCAAAGTTTGTTACATATTTCTGCTTGTTTTGGTGGTTAGCCCTTTGAAAGTGAAGTTCTTCACTTTAGATAATGCTGAAGTCGTTACTTTCGAAATCGATGTATCTATTGTGCCTGTTTCAGTGTAGTTATGTCAAGTGCGCATAGGTGCAAACCTTAAAACGATGGCGGTCCGAAGATGATCTGTATAATCAAGACAACAAAACTTTCTGATATATCAATGATGAGTATATGTCTTGAGAAATCAGGAACATTTTACAGAAAAACTTTTTCGTCGTAGTTTCTTGCTGACCTGGTAAATCTGAAGTCTGTTTGAGGTAGGAAACCATAAGAAATTGTACTTTCCATTGTCTAACAAGTCACGTCTGAGCTGACTTGAAAAGGCTTGAGGCATGAATCTTTGAAGCCTCTCCTCTTTCAATTCTTCATCATGTATTAGCAGCCTTCATAGATACAGTTCATGGAAGAAAAAGAAAATACAATGAAATCTGGCCGATTTTTCCATTATCATCAACTTGCAGTGTTTCTTTCACCAAGGATGCAAG